GTCAACAATTTCTAATATTTTCCAAATAGCTGCAGGTTTTTTTTTGTTTTGTTTTGTTTTTGTTTTTTTGTTTTTTTTTTTGTTTGTTTGGTTTTTTTTTTTTGTTTTTTGTTTTTTATTTTTTTAATGTGGAAGAACAGTGTGCTTCCTGGTGAAGGGCACAGCAGATTGTATAGTAGTGTAGGAAACATGAATCACTTTCCATTTGCCTCTCTGCTGCTCTCCATTCTCCCAGACACTATGAGCAAGGCAGAAAAATGGAATCTAAAAAAGCTCCATTCTAGCCTGACTCCTTCATATAATTCCTATAAATCCTGTCCTTCGTACTTCTCTGCTCTCTTGCTTCATGTTCACTGAAGTATGTGAATTTCTAATATCCTGATTTCTAATAATGTTTAGATGGATGTCTGATCCCTAAATTATCCACAAAATTTGAGAAACCTTTTCTTGTGTACCAAAGGAGCTTCTTTGTTTGTCCACTTAAAAAAATCGATTTCTGAAACTTTCTGGTGTTTTCTTCTTTCCTATCTTTACTTCCCAACCAGAAAAACAAATTCTTCATTTTTTAATAAATTCTTCATTTATGAGTTATTTCAAGTTAGATACTCAGTCCTTTGAAAATTAGACCTCGAAATTTGTAGAGAAACTAACATGGAAAAACAACCTCGTGATGTTTTGACGTTCTTAGAATTCTTTCTACTGCCTGGGCTTTTGGAAAATCAAAAAAGTTTTCCCAAACTTATAAACATTTCCAAAATGTTTCAGAATCCATTATTTGTTTGAAAAAAAAAAGAAAATTAATCAAACAAGTAAACCCTAAAGTGCATTTTTCTGGAGGAGTTTTATAGGTAATGAATAATGACGAAGAAGCATTTTTGCACCCAAATGAGGAAGAGTCCACCAGTAAATGTTCTCAGTATGATATTTTTGCTTTAGTTCATCACTGTGAACATCACGTGCAAGGCACAATGATAGCCATTTAGAGCACTGACTTTCTCAGCAATGAGAAATGAAGGTAACGTTGTGCTATCACCCAGTTTCTGACTACCTTTTATCTCACTCTTCTGAAATGTTACTGAATGGTTCTTCTCTGGAGTCACATGCAAACCCATTTGGAGGACACTGTAAAACTGTTTACTATGGGTTTGTCTTTTCAGTAGATGAGATTTCTTTGCATTTCATCCACTTGATTTTTGACAGATCTTCCTTTTTGTTCCTAAAACTGAGAAGGCAGCAGATGTACAGACAGAACAGCTGTGTTTGTAAGACATGCTTTAATCTAACTCCTTGCAAAGAAGTCCACTACTTACAAGCTGCTTCTTGTGGCTGAATCACTGTGGCTACCAAGGTTCTGCCACTTGCCACATAGTTCCCAAGATTGTAATGTCACATCTAAGTGTGCTGACAATTCTGTGATCACACTTTGGCCACAGTCTGCAGACTGTGGAGGGACTGCCTTGAAACAAAATTCAGCACCTCACTAAAATAATGAAGTATTGCTCTCAAAAACATTTAGAGTTTAATGAGGGTGATCTTCAACTGGACAGGCTACTTGCTCCTCAGCAGCCCAGTTTGTCTCCTGAACAACCTATGACCATAAAGGTGTTAGCATAATACTAGTGAGTGAACTGGCACGGGGACTTACATGCATACACTGTGTGTCTACATCATCAAATTGTTTTTTTTTTTTCTGTATGTTGTCTCAAGGACACTGCAAGAGCTGCTAATTGTCTCTCAGGCTGCATCTGGAGCAAGGCACAACCCACAGATGCACCAGTGTCTACCAGACCCATATACAGGCTCAGGGCTTCTCCAGGCATGAGCGGCAAGGGCAGTGTGGACATCAGAGTCCCAGCTCACACTCGGCTCCTGTAAGAGACCCTGCGTCTTTCAACCACAAACCAAACAAATTACAACATTGTATAGTGCAGAAAATGACACTTCCAAGTGTATTTATTGAGAAATAGCAAAGATGTACACAATTTTACAAGCTTTTAATTTTAATTTACATTTTTCTTAAATTAGGTAGGCCCTAATAAACTATAATCTGCTAATACATGACAGAGACCCTTGGCTTCAAATCTCCAAAATGCTGCTATTGCTGGGATTTTGGCTAATGTCACTTCAGCTCCTCTTCAGAGATACTAAATACCATATTCATTTACAGCACATGCCAGGTGTCAATCCTATAAAGCAGAGATGACTTTTGAACTGAAACCCTGGATCTGGATACAAACTTCACTGCTAAAACCTAGTCTTTCCTGTCGTGGGTCAAGCCTATATTCTCCATAAACTCTGCAGTTCTGATAGGATGCAAGATTTCATCTGCCTCAAGATGAAGAGTGCTTGTATAGAGGACTTTACTTGGCCTCATCTCCCTTGTCAATGCTTACACTGGAACACACTCTGCATCTGCTTCAGATGCAAACACTGCTGCTCACACTGGATTCGGATGGGAACAGATCTGGCAGCTAGCTGCTACCTATATCTTTGTGCACAATCTCCACAGGCATCTAAAAATAAGTGAAAATTTTAGGTTTTTCTGCCCTATTTTACTGAACTGCACAGAGTTATGTCTAAGCTACTATCCTGTGACTGTAATCACACAATATTTTGCAAGCTGACCACTCAAATGCCTAACGAACATTCAGGTTCTGTACTGAGAACTGCTAGAGTATCAGCAAAAGGCATTTTATTCTATATTTCATTTGCCTAAAACACTTGCAAATGGGGCCTTGTGCTCAATTTTGTTGTTAAGGAGAGGCTGAAGGGAAGGTAGTTTCTGATTAATATGCTTCTGAATTAAAATGCACTCAATGTCAAAGTGACCAACCTTCAGTTTAATCTTCTTAGGCCCATCTGGAACAGTCTGGCGTGACTGTCTCTGCCTTGGTTATTTTCTCCTCTGTTTTGTTCATGCAGGAAAATATATCAGACTAATTTCTCTTTACAAGGCAAGCATGTACTACACAATTTTATTTAAAGATATATATCAATTTTTGCTTAGCAAGAGAGTATTCATTCTCTGAAATTTTGTTTTAGAGTTTTAGTACTGCAAAGCCTTTTGAGCTACGGCCTTGAATTTTCTTTGGATACATGTTTGTGTGGATAACTTGTTTTAACAATTAACTTCCACTATGGTGGCACACAGAACCTTGTCATGCTTTGTAAAACTTCCCTCCTTTGCCTCCATCTCCTCTCTAGAAGTCCATATATTAGTTGAGCCATATCTGCCACAGAAAGCTAAGCACAACGCCAATGAAGGCACTGCAAACCTTTAATAAGAACCAACGTCTGTTGCTGGGCTACTTTGTGCTCTTTCATTTGATTAGGAAAAGAACATTGAAAAGCTGAACAAATAACTTGAGAAATAATATTACTTCATGCATTTAAATAACAATATGACATGTCAAAAAAAAAAAAAAAAAGAAGAGAAAAAAGCTAGTTAACCAAACAAATTTTTTGTTTCATCACATCTTATACATTGAGATTTTTATGTAATGCTGGAACTTGAGAAGGGGTTCAAAGTTCTTTCCCATTCCAGTAGAAACACTTTTTTTTTCCCACCTGAAAAACTAAAAAATCTGTACTACAGATTTTTATGACATGTATTTTCAGGTAGTGAAAATATAAAGAAGGTATGCGTAATTATTTTTGTTTTGGACACACAAATCTATCATGCAAATATCTACCTAGTCTACAGTGATTTCATATGTGGCGAGTCTCATGTGATGGCTTTAAACTGCCCAGTGATAACAAATTATTGTTAGTTTGTTGTGTGGTGACTGGTATATCCAATTCCAACACAGCAATGAAATCCATTTTTATGAATTTATAGAGCAGTTTCACCTTGGACTTATAGCCGCTTCGTGCTTTCACCTACCAAGTAACTTTGTTAAAACCTCAACAAAGTTTAAATGAACTAAGTTACTACCTGGTAACTCTGGCATACGATGGCTTCAGAGCACAGAGAGAAGATTTTCACCTCAGTGCTGACTACTGTGCTCGTGCAGACATCCTGGAGTTTGCCTTTAACATCTTCTCTTGCAAATACCTCTTCACACAGTCAGTGCACATTCAGCCTCAGGTGTCTCCACACACAGTGTTAAAAATCGAAAAAGTAGTTTCCACCTTCTGCCACGAGAGATGAGCCACTTGCTGTTATTACAGAGTGCTCAAGCTGCACATGGAACATTAAGGGCCCTGTGTGCAATATGGATTTTGCTCATTTTCCATAGCTGAAAGGTAGAATGTTCAAAACTTACAAGGTAGTTGTTGCTGTATGGACCGCAACTTTTAATAGACATTATGGAAGCTAAGGTGATCTACTTCTCAATGTTTCTTCATGAAAATCACCTCTTATCCTCTCCTCAGATGCCTGGCATGCTATTGAAATTTCTTTTTCAAAAACATTTAGGGTTGTCCCTGTGCAATTTTGTTGAGCAATCAAAAATGGATGAGAAAAATCATGTTGACACAAAACAAAATACACAAAAATGTGGAACAGAATGGAAAACCTATCACAATGCTGTTTTCTTTACCAAAGCGGACTATTCTCCTGAAATGGCCAATGTCACCAAGCCAGCAATTTCAGCAGCTTGTGTTGATCCTGAATATGCTAAATGTAGCATAATTTCCACATCTGACAGATGAGAACTTCTTCTTTAGTAATTTTTCATCCCTAATGAACTTGTGTTTTATTCCCCATCTGGGATTAACTCCACATTTTCACCTTCCAGTAATGCCACCTGAACACTTTGTCTGCTGGGTGGAACTTTGCTCTGTTATGGGCAGCAGATGCACTCATTGTATGGCTCTCAGTGGACTCAGTAATTAATGAATGTGGCTCTTAGTTCTCTTGCTGGAGAATCAAGAAATGATGCTGAAGGTGTTAAACACTATTTCTTCTTTTACCTCTCCAGGTAGCGGTCCCCAGTATCAACCTCCCAATATTTTCTTAACTTTTCTCAGAAAATCAGTGGAATTATTCAGAATCCAAATAAAAACACAAACTTTCCTTTATTTATTTTTCTTACTGCAACAAATACTTAAATTCTTTGGTGCAGCCCTGCTCTTTGATTTCTTTGAATTTCAAATTTGGTCATGTCAGAAATTATCACAAAGGTTTTTTTGTTTATCTACAGAGTTTTTAACCAAAATTACATTATAACACACAAACACAGTCTTCTCTTTAAGGCACAACACATCATATGCACATTCTCTTTGCCAAACTTATAAAAGAGACAATATTATATAACCCTTTCCCTCCCCTGCCCCCACCCCCCAAAAAAAAGAAAGAAAAATTGCATCCACTTCCAAAATCAGCTGCTAATAAAGTCACAGTAAATTATTTTCATCAATAATTTACACAAATTACACGTCTAGACAGGATTGTCATTATACAGTCTGAGTGCATTCCAATTCAGATTTTTTGGGTTAGGTAGGCTAAAGTCTGGTTCAAACCTCAGTGCTGAGAATATATCCCATTTTGAGGAATGTTGTTGAACACCACCTTGTTGGCTGGAAAATGCGTTTTGGTGCTTTGCCAGTTTGAGTCCTTTGTTCACTCCTGTCAGGGCTCACTTGGCGTGTACCAGCAACCTCCACAGTTTTAATTCACTTAAAAACGTTGCATATATAAGACCATAGAGCTTTCTTACGTAGCACTAATGTTTTAACTCCATTCAGCAATCTGAATTCTTCAGTTTGGAATTTTAAATTCCAAATATTTCTTCCCTTCTTAAGACAATTCATATGTGTAAAGCCAGAGGCATTGAATCACACATAAAAATTCAGTGTACTTGAAATACGTATACATATATATATAAAAGGATCACCAGCTTTAGGACACAGTTACAAATACTCTAGTTCCAGTGCTTGATGGAGAGCCAAGAGGTCCGAATGACTGGATATCCTCCAGAAAGGCATGTTGTGCTGTGTTTGTTAGAGGAGGGAAAAGGTCAGGAAAGATGAACACTGTGACACAGGGCAGCATACCACACACAAGGATAGTTAGAGGTTACCAGCACCTATCCTACACCACTGTGGTTCTGAATTGATTTTTGCTATTCAAGTACCGACAAAATAGATCTGAGCTTAGTAGCTCAGCTGAAGTTAAAGTAATTAGATGATAGCCTTTATTAATAGTTTCTTTGAAAAATACCTGTTACTTAGTAAAAGCCACTTGCTTATTGTTAGCATGCAAGCCCGTACAAAGGAGCATTAATAGTAAATAATTTGATGCTCCACTTATTTGACTGCAAAATACTGAATCATCATTTAAAGGACTACACGACTTCCATGAAAAGATGCTTCTCACTCAACACTTAAAAACAGAGCTGAATTACATTTTTTCTCCATTCAGGCAGAAAAAGAAATGTCTTTGGATAAGAAAATAACACATTTTTAGTTTAAGAAAAGATAATTTGTGTTGCAGAAAGCATCAGTGTCTGTGAGAGATGCAGGTATACACATTATTCTCCTTCAATAATTCATCAGAACAGAAAAAACACACACTTCCATGTTGTGTTTGGAACTATTTGAAATGTGCTATATTCATCCATCTCTCTGAATTCTACATCTATCCATGCAATATAGCCAATGTTAAGGAAAAAGCATGCCCAACCAGAAAGCCCACAATCCAACCACCACTGTTTAGCAAAAATTATAAAGGACCCATCACCAGTACTGTACCTATATTAAGGAACCATTTGGAATGAGCATTTCGGTAATTTCCATTTTGTTTCCACTTCAACTACAATGCTAAGAGAGTGCTTAATTTTGCTACATCTAGCACAACAAGATTTACATAATTGGCCCTGTACAGACATTGTGAGGAAAAAAATCAATCTCTGCACACTTCCATGGGTTATACTGGGAAGCACGGCACAAATTACTATTTTGATGTTTCTGAACATTAAAAACTTTCCTGCTGAAATTAGACTTGAATTATCATGAGGAAACTAGGAAACAGTTCTTTTTTGGAAACACAGATTTGGTGCACGATCTCTACATTGTGTTCTTTTTCCTTTAGCAGATATGTCTTTCTTGAAGCAAATTATATTTTTATCATATTTGCCCCAGTAAACTATGGATCTTCATCTATCTTAGCAAAAAAATTTGCACAGTCCTTTAGATGTTTTCCACATTCTCTGTAACACTTCTCTTGAAGCATTCCCAATTTCAGCATTTTAAGAAAAACACCACTCAACCATCATATCATAACCCTTTCTATCTCTTCTGTTTGTCTTTTAATTTGCTTGAAGTTTGTCAGACATTTTTTCTGCATTATTTTTCCATCTGTTTTAAAAATCTTTTTTTTTCCCCTTTCCAAAGTGAAGCAAAGCAAATGCTCGAATCCAAATGGCTCATTTTACTCTAAGTGTTGATCTCATCATGCTCTTGTTGGCTTGCATCTGTGGACTGAAGTTATTTGTCATTTTGTGCAACACTGACAGAAATGCAAACAGAAAGGCTTGCATTAGTAGCTATGTATCACACCAACATTTCAGAAGACAGGTTACCTTTTTTGCTGCCTGTTCTTCTTCTACACCATCCCCAATTACAACATATACTACTTTTCTGCCAAACCTTTGCATTATTCGTTCAAAGCAACTTTCTTTTCCTGGAAGATAAATGAGATAAGAGTTCAGAGTGAAGTTACCTGATTAGCTGCATGTTCCTCATCTCGGCCATCTCCAATCACAACATAAGTTATGTTAGTGCCAAATCTGGACACTATACGCTCAAAACAGCTCTCTTTGCCTGAAAAACAATGCACTATTTATTCAAGCTATCAAGTGAGTTATGGTGAAGCCTTACAGAGGATTTTTGCAGTGGTAAGACAATGCTACTACTACTTTTAAAAAGTTCCCAACCTTGGGATTTGGAGCCAAATCTGGTAAGAAGCAATGGATTCCCTTAATAACACTAAGATGTTTCAGCTAAAACTAGATCTCTTAATCATGACAGGAAAGCCACTAAGACAAAGGAATTATCAGCACTGCAAAAATGAATAGGTTAACAAATGAATAATTGAATTTAAATATTTATTTATGATCGTAATAATATTCTTACAAGGAAAATAGAAATTTTAAATCTAATGTATCTGCAACAATGAGTGATGCAGTAATTAAAAACTTAATTAAATGATGACTGAGGTAATAGTTGCGCCTGATACTGCTGGAATATGCACTGCTTTTTCCCTTGTGAAAATAATTTATGAAACATATTGCAATGCTTTTGTCAATGAAGTGACTCATTCCATGCTACAAAGGTTGTCATAGGTATAGAAATGAAGCATTCCTGAATTGCTGATTGGTAAAATCTGCAAAACTATCAGTCATTGTATGCTGCATCACATTTCACAGGAATGACTGCTTCTCTTGGTTTACAGTTTTGGATCCAATTTCCAGAAACCATACACTTCCAAACCATAATGCACAAAAGGCACACAGTTGTGAACAGAATGGGGAAGTGCCCTTTTGTTATCCAGCAACACGGGTTCTGTTAATAACAGCTGTCATTCCCATCACTGACATACTATGCCTCAGGAAAATGTTTGTGAAGCTGTGGCCTGGCTTGCATAGAGCTGAAGGTCAGAGCAGAGGCTAATTTAACAGAATTTCTGCTCAGATTTGAAGTCACAAAAAAACTTTTCTTCATTCTCTTTTGCAAGATTTTTGTTTTCTGCACCATACTGAGGAGTTTCTGAGGCTTTTAATTGGCACTTCTATTCCTTTTGGCATCATTGAAAATAAGGTGAATTTCGAATTCTTTGACATAAACACATCTGAACAAATGCAATGCCTAAATCTTATAACTAAAACTGCTAAGTGTCAGGGGAGTGTTTTGGACTACATCCATTACTGGAAAAAAAAAAAAAAAAGGTAATGCGGTGTAGTCAGAATAGATGAAAGAATGATTTTCTTACCTATTTTGGTTGCACTGTATATATTTTCAATAGGAAAAGCTCCTCCTAAGCTGTATAGTAGAACTTTTGCAAGTGCTGGGATAAGCTGGGTTGTTGTCACCAACACGTTTACACAATTACTCCTAAAAGGAGAGAAATAGTTTAAGTTCAAATAGTTTTAAAACAATACCCAAATGTTGATGAGGTGAACCAGCTGTGGAGAGCATATTAAGAATCCCTCAACATTTACTTCCATTCACACAGTACAGCTGCTCAGCACCATCACTTACAGAAAATGTACATAAGACCCCTGGTGAAAGCCTTTAAAAAGATGTAGGCCTGATTTGTAGGAAATATTCCACATGGGTTTATAAAGAAACAGGTCTTTGAAGGTGGGTGTAGTAAAATACAGATATTTAAGACCATCAACAACCTCCAAAACAAGGTATTTGAATGCTTTGAAAGCATAATTTTAATGCTGGCAATTAATTGTCAGTAGTTACCAGCAAAATAAAAGAGTTAAGAGAATGCAAACCCATGATTTGTTACTCTTTTATCTTTTTATCTACACTTTTCTCCACAATGGCATTTCTTTCTTCAAGTTTCAAGAGTAAGAAGATCTCTGAAGAGAGGGAGAGGTAAGAATGATCATGTTAATAAGGTAGCATTGAATGGTGAGGATGACAACTTGAATGGAGAAGTTGTGCAGGCCAGAGAACTCAGAGCTGAGCTACTTTTGGCACTCACAGGCTGGAACATGATCATGGCCATGATGTGGACATGGAGCTGGAAGTAAATACTTGTGAGTTTTCCTTCTGGCATTTCCACAAATTCCAAGCAAGACCCTAGGCTGCTATTTTCACCTTTATTTATCTCAATTTCCCATTGTAACATATCAGTAATGTTTAACTGAGTCACAGGTAGCTTCTGAAGGTTTACAGTTGTACAGTTCTTTGAAGACATGACAAAAGGCTATTATTGATCAACCCTGAGTGAAGGATAACAGTTTTCCAGACTCATCCACCAGTGCTCAACTGGACTTCATTACCAAAAGTCTCTCTGAAGACTAACAATTCAGAAAGAAATGCAGAGCTAAATACAACAGTTCACACAAATTTGTTACTTTTTTTTCTCCTGAAATGCTTCACACATTGTTAAATATACAATTAAGATATAAGCATATTGCAGAAGTTGTTATGTTGAAATTAATGTTTTTGTGTCTTTCCAAGTTTGTTCTTTCCACTTGACACTGAGTCTTTTCCCAGACATGTTCAGATAGCAAGATGACTTAATGTTCTTTTTTGTGGTTTAAAACTAGGATTTTTTAGGATTTCTGGTAAGATACATATTGCATGGCTTACTAAGCAGCAGCAGGGTTCACAGTTTTATTGTTTCAGAGGAACAATAAGTTTTATGTCTCAATATTGGGAACACAGACTTTTAGTTAAAGGAGATTTGTGCTCTTGTGAGAACTTAAGATTTATTCTAAGACACACTGGTTTGCTTAGAAGGACAGAAGAAAAATGCCCTTATGTTCTGGTATCTGTACAGTATTTCGGTTGCACTGCGGCTAGGCACAAACAATGAAGGACAGAACAGAGAGCTGTGGAGTTCAGAGAATGCTGTCCACAAGGTAATAAATTAAAAGCTGTCTCAGAATTCTACAATACACTTTCAGTGTACACACATTTGAGAAGACATTTCATACTATCTTCAGTAAATGCTGGAATCAGGACAAATTAAACCACTTTTCACTTTTCCTGTGTCCTACTCAAAAGTCATAGTAGACCTGTTCTGTTCTTTAAAGGCACTAATTTATTGTAATCTAAAACGTAAAAAAAATATCCATTACATGTCTAGAAACTTATTTTACAGCCGACTCAGATACATACCTTGTGCTGATAATTGATAATGATTTAAGTGCATTTGTTAGCCAGGAGTCTGTCAGAGCTTCAATCTCTGCTCTTAATTGCAACCATGCATCTCTTTTAGCGGGACCCAGGAGTCCTTTAATGTAAGAAAAGTGAGAAAAATAGAATTAAATTCTGTATCAGATAGGGTTTATGGTCATTGTTTCTATTTTAAATTCAACTACAACCTGAAAAAAATTATCAAAGAGAAAATCTAATGTCTTCAATGATCAGGAAATAATAGATATTATTTGTACTTCACCATATCAAGGAATGTCAGATAGTATTTCAGATAATAATAATAATTAGTTGCATTTCTTTATGTATCAGGCTGCATTTCAAAGTATTCCTTTCAGAAACATATTTTTAAACCAGCTCCTCCCACATACATTATTCTCATTATCAGAGGCAGTGACAAGGAGATCCATGTCATTGGGATCATAGGTGAAGATGGTCACAAAAAAAGATACTTTAGAAAAAACTGTTTAAAACTGCCCTACTTATGACTCTGCAGATAGTACACATACAGAAATACATTTGTTTGCTGATGGCTTGCTCTTCATGTCCTGTTGTAGTTGGTTCCTTTTACAGCATTTACAGCCTGAAATGGCTGCACATCTTATGTTCTCATATCTCAGTTGGTCCTTAAAAGTTAGTCCTCAAAAATCTCTTTTTGGGTATAAATTAAAAATACCCATTTAAAAATACCCAGCCTATTGAATGCCGAGACATGCATTTGCTGGAACCAGCTATTTTAAATGTAGATTCAGAAGAGCAGAGAAATAGGCTTTTTGACCTTTAGTATCCCTCTTCTCTGTCACACCCTACGAGTGATCATGACTGTCTTCCCTACAAGTGATGATGATTGTCTTCAAAAATCAGAAGTGAAATAATCTAAAAATATATGGATTAATCTTGCCTTCTGATAATTTCTAGCAGCTCTTTTGAAATAAACAAATACAGATAAGTTAAGAAAATCATAAAAAAGGCTAAGATGTGGAAGACACATGAAGAAACCTGCCCATTAAGGATGGCTTATATTTCAGATGCAGGATACGTAGGAGACAATAAAAACCTTAATCCAGTGCACCACATATCTGCATTCTGTTTGCTATATTTTGTTCCTCTCAGTGCGTTTCCCTGTGCTGTGCTCTTGGACTTGTTCTCTTATCACTGTTAAAGGTTTTGTGAAATGCAGCAGCTTCAGAATCTTAGATGCATCAGGAGATACAAGAAAACCCAGTAAACTTTTGGTTAACACTGCTTAAAGAATTATTAATATATAACAACTCGATTCACAACATCAATGAAAGGCAAAGCAGTGTAAGTGAAAGTCAGCCCTCTACTACCACACTTTGGTCCTATTGCTTCACCCTGTGCTAAGGAAAGACTGAACTACTGAGAGTGAAAATACATGACTGTCGCAATTACTGAAGACTTCTAAGTATTCTCTGTTCTCACAGTCTATGGTTGAGGGGTCAGTTGACACATCTCCCTCTCCAGAAGAAGGCTGTCTGTCTGCAAGGCACACAGAACTCTCCAGAACAGATTCTTTTGGCTCTGCTGCCTGTTGCCTACAATCTGCTAGTGCTGACATAAGCGAGTCCATGAATTAAAGCAGTAACAGCAAAGTTCTTGTCCCGACTGAGATCTCTAGACATACTGGAGACAAAACTTGTGTAAGCTCCAGAGTCAACAAAAGGGGCTATTGGCATGGCAGTGATAGAGTTTTCTTGCGTCCACTGGTGAAAACAGACTACTAGGTACCCAGCAGAAAGTTTAGAAGTTTAGCGTTGTTACCGACCAGATAATGAAAACGTAGGATGGAAATGGCCATCCACAACCAATTTGTGCTGTGAAACTATACAATGTCTTTCCTAGAACAACAGCAAATCTGAGGTAGTCTAAGTGGTTCAACAAGCCAGTAAGGTTAAGACTAGCTGGCTCTGAGGGAGGAAAATGGGCTCTGTGGAAGCTAAATGGAAGCTTGCTTTGTTTGAGCAGCATGTGGCTTTGCCTTTACAGTCAGTAGCTTTCAACAGCCATTGGTTCAGTCAGATCACTCTCCATTCCCTCTGGGGCTTCCCAGGCTCCTTCCCTTCATGGCAGCTCATCACCATGCAGCTCAGACTGCCCAGCACTCAAGGTTGTTTTTGGTAATTGAACTCACCTCCTATGTTGTTCTTGTAAGTATTATACAACTCTTTTACTCTTCTGTAACGGAAAGCCAGCTTCCTCATCCAGTCAACCCCTCCTCTTACACCTGTTGGCAGACAAAGGTTTGCACTACTTGCAGCTGCATGGAAGCCATCAGTTGCAAAACTGTAGGTACTGCAAACACCCAAAATACAGTAAAAATAAATACAATGTATTCCTGTAAATGCTCAAATTATTTCATCTTAAAAAAATAAAAGAAAAAGAAAAGAAATTTCTGTATCTTACCTTAGGTCTTGTCCATTATCATCTGAAGAAACATCATCTATATGAACTTGATCGCATTCCTGTTAGAAAGAAAAGAAAGCAAACCTAAATGACAAATTTATCTTATGAGAGAGTGCATTCTTATGGAAGCGTCCAAAAGGTGCGTGGATGCGGCACTTGGGGACACGGTTTAGTGGCGAGCACGGTGGGCTGGGCTAATGGTTGGACTAGGGGATATCAGAGGTATTTTCCAAGCCGAATGACTCTGTGCTCACCACGGGCTCAGTGCGGATGAAGAAATGACGGGTGCAGGCCGAGGGCTGCACCAGAAGGTGGCAGCCTGTGCACACCCAGTTTCCTTCTGCCATCAACATCTTTAAAAGAGTAAACTTCAACTTCTACACAGTGTGAATCACTAGTTAAAACAGACCTTCAGAAAAGCAATATGCCATTTAGAGGTGATTTTTTAGGAGTAAATTTATCTTAATTGTAAAGCCACCAAAATGGCAAGTCTCATTTACAGCCTCCCTAGTATACCAATACTTGAAAATCACATAAACCTTCTTTTCCCACTCCCTAAAAGCAATTGATGGTGAACCTCAACAGTTGTAAAACTTATGTTAAGTAGTTTGGACACTTATCAGGTTTTTATTTTAATTTATGTGAGTGCCTTTGGCTGGAAAATCACATATAATCAGCAATCCTACAGAACTTGATTATTTCCTGGCTTTGGAAGGGATGGAAAGAACTTGAGGGAACTGAGGTGCATTGGAAATATGAATTCCCCTCCAAAATGGTTTTACAATTGGACAGCTATCAAATATCCTTATCTGCACAGTGGTTAGAGGACAAAGATAAGAAATTGTGGTGAAAACAAAAGTAAATATATAAGCCAAACCATCATGCATTATATAATTGTTTTCAATAGTTGCTGGAACTAACATCTCAACCCAAAGACACACCTGAAATTCAGTGTCCATTTATGTCAGCACTTAATTCAGGCTCTCTGACATGCAGGAGTATGTCCTTCTAGGTTTCCAGTCTTTGTCTCGTAACAGTGGTAAATTGTACAGATAAAGGACAAATCTGAATAGAGGAGTGATTTCCAAATGTGTAAGACACAAGTTCCTAGAGTGTGAATTTAGGGAATTATCATTTCATCTTTCTACTTTGTTTGCTTTGTAATGAACAAAAACTTAAGATACTTCTACTCGCATGAACTAAGCTGTTAAAAAAAGAGGCAATTATGTATAAAACAAATACATATAATTTAATTTTCAAATACATAATTTCATTTCATCATACAAGCAATCATAATTTAAAATATTGGGCCAAAGCTAAAAGAAGGAGTTACCAAGCTCTGCTTATGTGGCTTATTCCATTGAGATAGGATAATAGAGCTGTGTTCAAGGAACAGGAATGACGCATTCTTCCCCTCACTGAAGAAATAAAATTTTTTAGATCTGTCTGAGGAGATTATCTGTAGAATATTTTAAAGAAGCTATTTTTGCATGTAAATAGCAGATGAAGAGAGAAAGTAAAGGGAACGTGGCAGCTGAAATAAAATATCAATTTCTTTATATTTATTCATCATTTACACTCCAGAAAAAAATGCAACAATGCTTCACCCAGTGTAGGATAGGAGCTCAAAAATCAGACAAAAAGCCCTACTGGGAAAAATTTTAACTCTGTATTTTGCAACATCTGGGCAATATCAGGCTTCCTAATCACCTTCACAGATTTCCCTGGAACTTGTAAAAGTGTTAAGTTTAAAAGTTTAAAAATCCTGTGGATATGAAGGTATACTAATTAAATGGAAGGCACACAAAAGCCTTGATGGAAAAGGAGTGTCTGCTGCTGTTTGGGTTTTGTTAAGCTTTTCAGCTACATTGTTCCAGCCTTGAAAATTCTAGGTAACTGTTCTGCTGATAATGTCATTATTAAGTTAAATATGAGTGGGTGGCAAAGGCTCAGCTGTTTAATTTTTTTTTTGTCTCACAGTTGGTTCGTTGTGATTCTTTGATTAACTCCAGAAACAGGATGAGGGGACAATGCAGTTTTCTGATGACTCACCCCTTTGTCCCTGCAAGAAGGTTGTTGATATAGGAGTTAACATATATGTTATACTGGAGATCAAGCCCAACAGCACTCTCCAACTTCCTCTTTTCCCCCTTCCTCTTCTCCTCTGGATCTACGGCTCATCTCCTCTCTACATGCTGGCAGTACACATTTTCTGATCAGCAAACAAGCTCATGTGCCCATCGCTCATTTTTTTTTTTTAATTTTGTTTTCTTGTTTACTTATCTACTTCAACTAAAATGTTTACCTTTTACAAATTCACTTACATGGTGTGGAAAAATCTTGCCATAAAAAAAGAAAAAGCAGGTAGTTTGAGCAGATTTGAGATAGTTCTCTACTTTTCTCAAAAGAAATAGGAAACTGAGTTTGCTTTTAAATGACACCAAAGCATTATGGGAAAGAAGGCAAGCTCTCTGTCAATTTAAATATTAAGGTAAAATATTCTTCACATCAGCTACGATACTGGTTAAGCTCAAGTCACAGTGGCTGTCAGTGTAATGTCAAAACTAAGAAACATAAAAATACATTTCCTATTAAAGCAAATACAGGAAAGGAATCTAAGTATAATATCTAGCTTTTGTTTGAAGCAATACTAATTAAAATTATATCTGAATGCAGTCAATTCTTTGCAGCGATTTTTAGAGTCTGAAAATTTGAGAGTAAAGAATCAATACATCATCCATAAAACTTATCATCTTGGACCAGACAATAATTTTATTATCCAGTAAAAACACTGACTTACCAAAACTGAACACAAAACTGCACTATGCTGTCTTATGCTTTCTTCAGCTTACCAAGCCGAACACAAAATTGCACTATGCTTTCTTAAGCTATACCAAAAACCCCTTTTAACATCTGTGCTTCAGTTTCTGTTAAAACTAGTCTTACCTGGCTCCCAAATTCTGAGACTCATCTAAATCTTATTTTTAATTTCTCATTTATATTTCTAGTGAGAAACAAAGGATGAAGTCTCCTTTAAAATATGATAGGATAATGATAAAAATTGAAATATAATTCAGTTTGTTTGAAATTAATACTCTTTCTTTTCATTGACCTGAGAGTGGAGTGGAATAATGGAGTTGGAAAATTCATGTCTGAGTTACTACATGCAATTTGCAGAAATTGTTTTTTTGGTGTGTGTAATAGGCCTTACCAACATTTCTAAATGCTGTCTTAAAATTAATACTGAGATATGAAGAAAAACTCAATTTTATTCCTTACCTGGTTGAAAAAAGAATGCCTTAGTTTGGCCATTATTATAAATCTGAGTCCCATCCCTAAGCGTTGTTTAGGCACATGAACTTTCTGGAGCACCAGACTCCTATTTTCGTGGCAAAACACCAACAGCCCTTCCAAGTGATGCTTCTCAAGCTAACTAAAATTTATACCCTGAGAATGCAGTAGCTGGAGAACAGCCTAGCCTGAAATGAAAGTGCAGCTTGGCTGATTAGAACACGGGTTACTGGGTCAGCAGGGAATGTCTCAGCAGATTGGAATTTCTGCATCAGCAGCCACTGCAGTGACACGGATTTGCATAGAGGAAGGAAAACTTTATTTTTGTAAGTGATAACTTCAATAACTTGGTTATTATTCCTAGAACCTGCTATGCAGTGTTTGTAACCAAGAAAGACAGGGAAAAAAAGAAAGTTTAGAGGATGTAGTGACTGGAGTGAATATTACAGGTACACAGGTTCAGTAGTACTTTACAGTTGTCATGTCCAGAGCCACAAGGTTTACTGTGGGCTGAAGATGAAAGCAAGACAGAAGGTGTGGAACCTGAGGGCTCACCACTGAAAAAGTGACATGATGAATGAATAAGCAATCTGTCTGCCTAGCAAATAAAGGCCTGTCTCAGTTCCTCCAGTGAGAACTGAAGGTCTTGTGTCTTGATGGCCATGATCATCAGCACTCATTTCTGCTCCCCTGGGGGAGGACAGAGAGAGGAAGACAGAGAAAGAGAGATGGGGAGAGGAGGGGAGATGAGGGAGAGAACCCAAGTCAGACTCTGGGAATTCTCAGAGTTCATTACACATTCATCATGCAGATGCACTTTAATATTCAGTAATGGCCATGTGCTCTGCAAACAGATTTAATCAGACAGATTTATCCATCAGCATATTAAAGGATGCCGCTACATACTTGGGCAAATAGGGCACTTTATCCTATTTGCTGAGAAGATAGAAAATTTCTGGTCTTCTTGCACATACCAAAATGCATGCTTACAACTCATTTCAGCACATGAACTTTGGAATTTTGGTAATTTTGTAAGAGAGCTGGTTTTGAGGCCAAGATGAATTCTGGGCCATAAAGTATTAAATTTCTTGTAGAAATTGTCATTATTAAATATTTATATATAAATTGCTTTTAATCAAATCAAACTGATTGATTTACGAGACTCTCTAAGACAGCTCCCAAGTGGTATTTTTTTATTTATTTAAAACTGGAAACTGTTCAAGCTCTGGAATGAGCTGGCATATGAGTTTTTGGACAGGGGTATTAAAACCATCCTATGAAGATTAGCCAAAATGTAATGATCCACCTATGACAGCTGAACTTGTGATCTACAGACAAAATAAATAATGAGAGAAAGGAACGAAGTTTCAGTGGCCATAAGCAATAATGAAGAGGTATGGAAAGAGGGCAAAGCTCAGTTTTGCTGAACTCTTCCACCTGAACTCAGCACAACACCGAAGAACAGATTCTACTGAATGGCTTAAATTTCATTCATGCCACATAAACTCTAATCATGCAGGGGCAAAGGTCTGCTAAAAAGAAATTTAATAAATGCTTTGAACAATTTATTTGGAATCTCTCCCTGGTACAGGGCACCAGAAGGAGACATTCACTGAATGTACCTGCATTGTCAAGAGATGTCTCACTAGGGCTGCAATAAAGCACACACTGATAAAGACATGTCCAGGGCTTTACTGTCTTCAGTTTCTGCTGCTGCAAGGAGGAAGTGTAGCTCAGGTGTGACATGAAGTAGATTTCCAGTTTCTTGATTTAAAAAGAGCTAAGAATAAATGAGATCTGCAAGGGATGATGAAGACAACCACAAACTGGTACCTTCTGCTTTTCTTACTGCCTACTTGATGAAGGAACAAAATACAAAATCAACATCCCAGTGGATGGAAAAATTTCACTTTATTTTGTCTATTGACTCACCAGAGATCTTTCTCTGGGATTCTAAACAAAACCTCAAAATCTTCCAGCTCCCATTCATGGCAAGTATCTGTCCATGGAGGGATGTCTGGGATCTACTCTGAGTAAGAAAACAACCATTTTAGACCAGCAGAATGTCTGAAAAACCTCTAGGCTATTTTGAAAATTGTTTTTCACTCATTGACTTGACACACAGTTGTAGGCTTCATTGTCCATGTTAACAGACCCAGACTCTAAGGGTGAAATAAAATAACCTGTGAAGCCCAGCATCACTGATCAGAACATCTATCACAGTCCCAGCTCTCTGATGCTGCATTCTTTGAGGTAAATGAAGAATATTCTACATTTGAACAAGTAACAGGGGCCTGTAGCCAAAAGGCTGCTGAGGTATGCCAAGAGAAGAACAGTCTCCTGGTCAGATGAGGGCACCCACTGAAAGCAAATGAACATGGAGAACTTCAAGAGAAGAATGTGAGGCATGTTACCATCCTGGAGATGACATCAGACAGCTTTACACATATGGAAACCAAAAAAGATGGACAAAGAAAGGAAAGGTAGTTTGCAGATTCTCTCTCTCACTGAGTTTCACAGAAGGACTCTGGTGCCGCCGCAAGTCAGTACCACCTGGCAAACCTCTCTCTGATTAGAGTACGACAAACCCAAAAACTACACAGGCACAAGTGTCACACACAATAAACACTAATGCACAACAAAGCCACTAAGTTAAAAATCAGGAATAACAGTGCTAGCATTCCTTTGACTCTTACCTCTAAATCATTAAAAAATAAATGTGTGTCAGCAAGATTAAAAATCATTTCTTCCATTCGTAGTCCAAGGGTCACTGCCATGGGCGGATCCTTAAAAAACAAAAAAATAAGGTTAGCTTGTTATATACCTCTAGGTTATATTAGAATTACTTCAAAAATTGGTGTATATAAAGTGTTTTGAAAAATTAACACTGTAAGAAATTTCACTGAAATCCTTTCAGTATTAAGCTATTTTAATATAATGCTGTAATAAGACACTGCTGAACCTCTGTTTGTGAGAAAATTCAGAGAGCTGGGGATATTGAAAAATAAATTTTTTTAAAGCCCAGCAATTTGCAACCTGGCTGAACTGACAGGAAAAAACCTGGTGGCCGTAAACATATACATAAATATAAACATAAACAAGTATAAAGAAGACTGAAAATAGGGACGGTACTTTTTGTAAAAGATGCATGTAGGAACATACACTCCTGTGGAAAGCATATATAAGTTTGTTGTTTGCTACAGATCATCCCTTCATTGCTGATGAAACACAGGAATCCTGTCCCTGGATAAGATTAATTCAAAATGTTGCATTTGTTTGTAGGTTGTCTTTCACACTCTCAAATTGCTCTGCCTCAGCAAGACACCACAAATCTCCCGATCTGCAATAACACTGTCTCAGAGCATTAAGTGTACAGCTAAGGCAAGATAACGAATTCAAATTTTCTAGGTTTGCTAGGAGAGAGGTAAAGCACATTTGGTTTAGAGTAATGGTCCCTGGTGCTTTGCTGACACCTAGTAATTAGTTTGATTGTTGCCTTAATCATCTGCCTGAGTTTATGGGGTTCCGTTAACTTTTTTATGCTTAACACAACTGCAGTGGACTTTTAAAACACATGCAGTCCTCTTCTCATCAAAATATGAAAAAAATATTTCATCATTTAAACTCTGACTGACATGAGCAAATTTTTAGAAATCCCTTCTTAAATACCTTGAGATTTAAAGTCTAAATATTTACCAGCATGTAGCAACAAAATCTCACAAAACCTCAAATGATCATTTGTTAGCATTAGGATGAAAGGCTTCCCAACCAGGATCAGACACTCACTACTCCAGGGCTTTGCAATGATGGAATGGAAGATGGCTTCTGCATTCAAGCACTTAATAACTAACGGTAAAATCTGAGCCACTGACATTGACTGTTGCTCATGAAAAAGGCATACTTGAAGGGGAGAGTAGTGTTCAAGAAGTTTTAATGATCCAAAGTTAGACCCAATTCTCTAGCAGTGAAAATAAATATTTTTATGTTGACCCTTGAACTGGTCTAGGCTACCTTTCAGAAGCAAAAAAACAAACACAGTGCCAGGAACAGAATTTTATCCCTTCTGTCTTCTGTAGTAATGTTCACCGGATCTGAAAGTCACATGGCTGAAGGCAGCACCAAGTGCAAAGGTCAGATTTCCAAGAGGATGATTAAGGAACACCATTAACTGATTAGCAAAACTCCTGTTAGGCACTGACAACACAAATCACCAAAATACCCTGGACTCATGAGATTCCTCATCAAGCCATAACGCTTTTATCAAAATGTCATTGGATATAAACACGTTTGTCTCTTTCATTTGCATTTATTTTCCGTGCATTGCAAGCTATAAATCTTTTCTCCCTACATACAACACACTTTTTTACCTCAATCCTATGAACACTAAGGCATGTGCATAATTTTATGCACAGGTGGTAACTCATTATTATTTATCTAAGTTATTCACTGGAGTGCTTCCAAAACTGGAATCTCAGACATTTAATTCTCAGCCTCTTTTTTACCCCTTCCTGAGTAGAAGCAGACTTGAATGCAGGAATTTTCTATAACCTTTTCTGTTATAATTTGATTTGTTTTCACAGAAACTACCAACTATGTATGACAATTTCCTGCCTTGCCTAGCAGAGTTGAAAGATATAAATGTGACAAAGCTCTTATGATTTTCTTATTAATAGTAGTTTTGTAACCAGTTATGCCTGACTATTACTATTAAAATTATATTTCCTACATTCTTGTTTTGACAAAGGCATGAGAAGGCTATTGCTAGGTACGGTATGTAAAATAAAATAAAGCAAAGCAGAGGGAATTAATTTCAGCTTAGCATAAAATCACTCTGGGATCTCCCTGTACTTCTGCTAGGGAGAATTGCTGGAACTGAATTCTCAAGATATGAACAATTCTTCCCTTAATAAATTGGCCAAAACTTTTCCCTGAAACTGCTTAACAAGAACTAAAATTTATGTTCTATCCAGCTCCTGCCATATTAAGTTCTTTCCTTCACGTAAAAAAAATAGACAAGAAAGCAGATTTGTGAGGGTCTTGAGGCTTTATAATGTTTGCACAATATGGAGGAACATGACAATCATCATTTTACTGTCTTTCAGCCTGAAGCAGAAGTCACAGACTGATTCAAGTGGCACAAAGGACTGAGTATTGAAAAGAAAGCAAGAAACTTGCAATTAATACAGAACTTAGCACAGAAAATTGAAAAACTTAGTAAGAGGCAGACTGAACTTCTGTCAAAATTGTATTTTGTGCTACTCTGCACAAGCACACACAGTAGAGGAAAAAAGGACTAAAAAAAAATATCTGGAAGTTTTCCCCAGATAATTCACAGAACAAAGAACAACTCTTTGGCCCGCAGAGGTATGATGCTAGCCAGATATCATTAGTGTGCAGAAGAATCAAGACCAGCTACTACACTTCTGTACACCTAAATACAAATTACTTTAGTTATGTTAAGATGAAGGCACTAAAATGGAGCCAGACTGTCTGTCTGTGGACTTTTGTACCAGACTGGTCCATCCATTGGAATGCCTCTTGGGAGACTAGATAAAAGTATCCTGGGAGGACCAATACTTAAATGTTTTGATCGAGGGGAGAGTAACTGGAATAAAACCCCAAAAGCTCAGTGTCCATTAGTAGAGGAGATGTATTTAATACTGTCTTGGAATGTCAGGTTTCAGCACATGTTCAAAAGAATTTCATTTCTTGGGAAAAAAACTGCAAACACCAAAGTGACTTTAATAAAACCTTGGAAAACAAAGAGATAAACAGACTGCCAGGTAGATTCATTGTGACAGGAATTTGCATGCACGAAGCCTTAAAAATAAGCAAGAAAACAAGCAAAATTTTAAGAAGTTATTTTCAATGGGTGGCTGTCCTGCACAGACTTAAAGCAAAACTGACCTCAGGAAAAAGTGGAAATGCTGACGTTAAGTATCAATGTTTTAGCCTAAAGAGACTTCTCTATATTATGTAGGAATCTCAGTTTTAAGTTCAACCCTCACTCTCTCATAGGGGACACTTGTCCCAGGAGAAATTCATGTGGGTGGTGATGGAGGAAGAGAACACATCTCTTCTTGATAACCATAGCTGGTGGCTGATGAAGGGAAACTCACGTACTCCATAGGGAGTTTCTGCTCCATGCTCTCTAGAAGGCAGTAGGAAAATCAACTCAGAGGTCTCAGACAAGGAGGGAGTAAATGCAGAGGACAACTGGAGGTGATGAGAGATACACTATTAATACAGGTGGACAAGAGAATATTTATGAGTGAATTTGGGAATGCCATCATGGGTGTTAATGGTGACAAAGCTTTCTTGTTTAATAACCAGACAAGCAGACAGTGAGCAGTAAAAAGCTTCTGAGCCCTTTCCAAAGAAGTGCACATGGTATTTAATGAGGCTTCCCTGACAACTTTCTGTCATTTCCAATTTTATAAAAAAATGGCAAAGTATGATCATCAAGTGTGGATTTGTTTTGATTTTTGCATTTGGAAATCACATTTTCCATCTTCTAAGGTCACAAAGGAATTTTATTCTTCTTATAAAGAGTTGCACTTTGAGTCACAGCATTAATCTTGGAATCCTTGCCCTCTGGATTGACCTGGGAGAAATGAATAAATGCTTGGAGCTAGAAAAACTCCAGCTTAATCATCCTTCAACCAGTAAGAATAACTGGAATGCAATGGAACAAAGAATACACACTGTTCACAGGGAATAAGAATGTACCTCATAAACTTTCAAGAGATGATGACATCTCCTAACAGATGTCCTGTCACATCAACCAATGCTCACTTAAGAGCCCAGCATTGTAGAAAACCTTATCTGTCAACTGGTGCTCAGCTGCAAAACCCATCATCATCCACACAAGTCACAATGTAACAGCTCCAATGCCAATGTTCACAATTTGCTACTGCAGTAAGTAAATAAAAATAGAAGTGTACTGGTTTCATGAAGAACAATGCAGATGAGCAAATGAGTGGAAAAGTGAGAGGTGATCTTACTGCTGGAAGGCAGCACAGCTTTCCTGAAACCTAACACAGGTGTAGTGTAGTTTTTATTCTATGTTAGCCCAGTAGAATAACCAATATACCAAACCCAGAGAGAAACAGCCACAGGTAGAAAACAGCAAGGCATGGGATATTCTCCTGGGAAAGCTTTATATTTTAAATGTAGAAGTGATACTCTGGCCAAATTCTGGACAAACCTCTCCCAGTTCAGTTTGGTTTAAAGCTATACTCTACTGGCACCCAGATAAGCAGCAGCAACTTGCCCCATTTCTAAAGAGATGCTTACAGTTGCATTCTTCAGCAAATCACTAATTCTGTTTAGCATGCTTGTTATAAAATTTTGACATCAAATAAGTATCGTTCCATGCAAAGTGCTGAACAAGTATATACCCAGGACAGTGTCCATTCTCAACTTCATAAATCCTTAGCATAAGTCAGAAATTTGCTGTTCTCTTGACAAATACACAACCTGAAACTTGCCTACTGGATCCAGGCCTTCCAAATTATCTCTGGCAATGAAAGCCCTCCTTGCCTAAGGAGATGTTGGTTTGACTTTCCTTTTTCTCTTCTACTCCAACCACTTGTTAAACTGTAGAAATCTTTTGAAAGTGTTTATTTTCAGATACAGCTGCAGCTCTCTAGTGCTCCTGCACTCACATGTGGATCCCTATTCCAGGCCATAACACACTGCACCTCCTCTCACTGCATCCTTGTGCAGCCTGAACTGAGAGATTAAAAGACTAATTCCTGATTTTTTTTTCACCTGGCACCTGAAAAAACAGGAAAAAGCTGGTGAAAAAAAGGAATGAAGGTTTTTATGTCAATCAGAACATGAGAAAGAACTGGAAGTCAATATCCTTCTAAGTATGAAGTGAGAACACTTGGTATAAGAAGTTGCCTTCTCTTAAAGCAACATTTGCATTAATGACATGCTATTCTCATGTAAAAAATTAAAAATGGGAGAAGGGGAAAATTCTGCTTGTCCTGCAAGTTTTTGTTTTTGTTTTTTTTTTTTTTTTTTGGTTTTTTTTTTCTTTTTTGTGTAGTTTCTCTTTTTTTGTGAGTACTTGATTATTTTATACAAAAATGGGCTCGTGAAATATATGTGGAAGAACATGGTATTCTGAGCATCTGTGTGACATCAGATGCCTTTACTTTTTAAACCAGACAGCAAATCATCACAGTTAAATAATTTACTCTCTCCACTGTTTTACACTACCCTATTTCTTTTTTCATTGTTAGGCAACAATTCTATACCACCTTTCCAAGACAAACAGTTCTCTCAAAAATTTTGAAAGACCAATGTGGTAACAAGACTTCTGCTGAAGCCTCACAATTCTTGGATCATTTACTCTCATAGCAACCCAATTCTCATAACAATCCAATCTTCAGTCTGGATTCAGACCTTGTATACAGATGGAAATCACGTGCAGAAAAGATAAGGACCATATGTGCTAAACATGTCATGCACCAGAGCTTAGTGAAGTCTATCTGAGGGATTGTTCACTTCTCCCATTTCTAACCTCTTAGGCACTTAGGCTGAGACACATCCCACCTTAAATTTGGGCAACACTACAATGACATGCAAAAGCTAAAGCCTACCCATTATAAGCTCTTCCTGTATTCCCTTTCCTAATGCTCTAGCTTTCTTGCAGTCAACAATATTTATATTTGACTTGCACTGGTAACAATTCATCACACAAGTTCTATGTAAATATGGCAATGGCAGTCACTGCAGTAAGGAAAAAGCCTACTATTATTTTATAGGGTCTGGAAATGAATACCTTTCCCTACTTGTGTGGATGTCACCTATGAGCTCCAGGAAAAAAAAAAAAAGAAAAAAAAAAGTCAAATAGGATATTACTTCAGAATTCTGTAATTCTGCACCTTTTGCTTCTTTGTCATCCATGACACTTGATATTTGTTTATTGTTGTTGATCTCAGTAGTATAACTACATTAATTTCACTAACCCTTGAGACACTTTTGGTTTATGTAAGACTTTATCTGCTGTCAGTACTACTGTCTGTAAATATGCCATTACTAATTTACCAAGAGAAATTACATTTCTGTTGCTGTTTCCAAGACAGTTTTCAGAGTTATCCACAGATGTTTTGTGAGCTACAGAATGTGCTCTCATTTTTAAAACTATGTGTTACAGTTGATTTAGGAAACATCCAAAGGGCACAATCAAAAAAGACTGAAAGAAATAACTTTATCACTCTGCCAATTCAGCAAGTCCTGTGGTAGTCTATGGGCTACTCTCAAAGTGATACAAAAGTTCATGTTCAGCTAGGTTTCTCTCTCGTTTTGATAACTATTCATTGGAAATGGCTCTGACAAAGTCACTGTTGTTACAATGTCTGAAAAACAGCAGAAGAGGATTTTTTGACAGAGTACTGAGAAGTGCACAGATTTGGCACTGGGAAGCTGCAAAGCAAGGAAGGCTGTTTCTTACATGACATGAGTATCTATCCTTATCTTAGCATTCCAGAAATTCAGATTTTGCACTTGGCCTGTGACTTTTCCTGTTAACTTTCTTCTTTAATAACCACAAAAGGTTGATTGCATGGAAGACTGGCCCCTCTCTGGTTACAATCCACAGGTCCTGGCTTTGGACATTTCTAACCCACTGGTAGGGGAGGGGGTTGTGAAAAGCATTTCTGTAATCTGTTTCTCATACCCTTTTCTCAAGCATCCGATTCTGGCTGGAATAAAGATGCTGAAAACATGCTAAACAAGCCCCTTATTCAAGACAACATAGACATGGTTATGCTCTTAAAAAGAAATACCATTGCATTAATTTCACTTGAACAGCACAGCACAGAGAAAACAATATATGTACATACTGACATCCCCTTTGTCCATTTTCCTCTTTCCACACATTCGTTTGATTTTTTGTTTTATCCAGGCCCTTAGCTCTACTTCTCCCATTAGTCTGCTCCTGTTGCTACACACCAGACCCTTCTCACCTTGTCCAAGCAGGCATTCCCTGGACTCCCAGCAGCAGCTCCTGAGCTCCTGCAGTCTGCCATTGCCTCTCTTTGCCTCCCTCACTCTTCTTCCTGCTCTCACACTCACTGCTCTGTGACCTGAACTCCTTTTGGACTCATTGGAGGGGAGAGGATGCTTAAAACTACTTGGGAGAGGGTTTTACTCCCCAACATTACTCACCGCAGAACTAGCCAAGGGAACCAAAAATTCCCTGAAAAAGGTGGGGAGTCAAAGAACAACATCTGCAGCTGGCATTGAAATAAGTCAGACCCCTACTCATCCTATTCATAAATTTCCTGGTAAATTCACCCAACAGCCCAGTTTATTCTTTCTTCCTCTACTGTTCCAGATTCTGTCCGTTTTTTCCATTTGTACACTTCATCTATTATCTCCCTGCAGTGCCTCTTCCAATGCATGTCAAGAACCTCATCCTTGTTCCTCTAAAAATTCTCCTCTTATTTGCAGCATCTGCTTCAGCCCTGCCTCATGTACTGTATTTAGGGTCTGTGTCTCATTCCTCTCCTAGACTTCTTCATAGTAACCCTCTGAGAATGGGATTCACTCTACAATTCACCTCTAACTTCACCCACAAGAGCCATAAAGAACACAGAGGTGAAAAACATGTACATAGTCAGGCCAGATAGCTGCAGAAGTGACACAAAATTCACAGCTCACATACCTTGCCATACTTCTGTGCATAGGATCCTGTAAGCAGCGAATGAAAAACTATGATTGTTTCATCCAAATCCCAAACAAATACACGCTGAAAGCAGAACAGAGGAAAGTATGACTGTACAAATAACATCACAGTCCCACCACCACACCACCCAGGAAGACTAAAATTCAACTGACTCTAAAAATTTAACCAAGTACTTATTAACTGAGCAGGTTTTCTATGAAAATCAGCAATAACAGTGTATCATGCATGGTAAAAAGTCAAAAGGCAGTAACTTTTTAACTCTTCAGCTATTTCTTATTTGTTCTCTAAGAAAGCTTTCCACAAAAGCTCTGTAATACAGATTTCAGAAATGTGATTGGGGATCAAACATAATTGTTAAGGATAAACAGTACTTTAAGATACTTCTCTGCAAGTCTTACTGATTCAATATTCTTTTTATTTCTAATGTATAACCAAAGTCTTGGGTAAAAGTGCTATATGCCACTGCCACATAGAATTTAAATAATACTGTAGATAAACCCGATTATTTTAACTCAGTTTCATTCATTCAATTTCACTTGTTTTGATTCTCACTGGTAAAAATAATAAATTAAAAAAAAACCCAACCAACCAAAAGAAACCCTGAAATGTTAAGAAGTTAGTTTTTTTCACAGGAAAAATTAAATCATTTGAAGAGCAAAAGAAAAAAAAAAAAAGTAAGTTTCTGTACAAATGCAATGGCATTTACACTCAGATCCTGGTCCTGCTATCCCAGGCTGTGTGGTCAGCCAAGTCCCAATAACAATTTTGTTTTGTATCCAGGGCTGGTCAGTGAAGGCAGGGCAGTGGGGCAGGCCAGGGCTGCTGGCACGCCGTGCTGCTCTGGTGGCAGCAGGGGACACACAGCACCGGCAGGCAGCACAGCACGTCCCCGGTGCCACAGCTGGAGTGTCACACACACACAGGCACTCTGCTTCCTCCTGCTGCTCCTGCCATTGCAAGGCACAGCCATAACTTCACTGAGGTAAGCTCCTCACTGAGATCTGCTGATATAATTTACAAACACAAGCACAAACCGGTGCCTAAATATTTAAAAGGCTATGGCCAGGTGATCCTGCATATTTACACTGAATCCATAAATACATGTAATTAAGCTGAAAGATACATTTGAGATTTCTTATTTCAAAAACTAAAAGAAAATGTGGCACTTTTGAGTACAGGCTTGTGGTTCTCTTGCACAAGAAACTGACAGACACGCAATGCAGAACAGTAAAGTTTCACCACAGATTAAAACAGCTACTGCTCTCTGTTACATTCAGTTAGTAAGACTGAGTCCGTAATGTCTTCTAAAATGCTTTAAGCTATTTTCACAGCTGCAGTATTCAGAATTTACACTTCATCAGAAGAAACCTCCACATTACCGTTCATCAATTACCACAGACATACCTCCAAGTCACTGTCCGGAGGGGGTGATGGATTATTCTTCCGCCCTCTACCCCGAGACTTTGACCCAGAACTCCTACATGTTCTCTCATCAAGATCTTTGATTGGCGTGGAGGGGCTCTGCACTGTGTCAAACTCCCCTGTAGAGGCAACCATTCATGCCAAAATTAGTGCTGGATTTTTAAATAATCAACTTTTTTCCCTCAAAGTTCAACATGTCTGTATGCCAATGACAAGAGACATGTAAAAATGTAGTATAAAAAGAATGATAATGGGGCTTGTCTTATGTAGATGGGATCAGCAGATGCCACACACACACTTTTGGCTTTACCAATAGCTTTAGAGTATAAACCTTAGCAGAATAAGACAAAAATTAAAATGACACATATACATGTGCATATACACAAATACACACGAGCCCAGAAAAAATATCAATATATCCAAGACAGGGGTATTTTAGAAGTCATACTAATGGTTTCTCAAACATGAAGTGCTTTTTAATTAAAGTAGTTAATTTCCCATGTTTTCAGTTCAGCTAGACTTATTTCCAAGTCCTGCTTTACTTTTACCAGAACACACTTTGGCACTAATCCATGATCCAGAACAGCCATGCAGCTTCCAGTTTCATGTCCTCCTCCCGTGTCACCTGCTCTTTAGTCAAGTTCACTTTTTTTCTTCACCATACATCAGCCCATAAATTGTCAGAGGAAAGCCATAATATTAAAAGCAATATTCCAGTTAGTACCTGAAAGAGGATGAAGTTATACTTGCTGTGCTCTGATTGTCTTTCCCAAAGTATGAGACATTGTGGGCTGTCACAGAGATGTACTGGAAGGGTTTTTGACCTGGTATGGCATAGCTGGTCTTAACCACACTCAAGCCCATCCCTGACTTATCCATTTAATGAAGCTTAGCATCTTCAGCTTTCAAAACTTCGATCAATAAATGCAGTTTGGCTAGGTTCCTGAGTGTTAAATGACAAATAAACCCTCCTTCTTCATTTATCCTATTAATAATGATTTGATTTTTCTCCAGTAAAGGAGGAAAGGGTACGGCTTTGATTTGACAGCTACAGATTTTGATTCAAGAGAGTCCTTGAGCTGTCTGTAATTGAGCATTCCTGGGCCACTGGTAACATTTGTTAAAAGTGCTCATGATGGCAAATATGCAGAATACATTAACACTTAGTACAAACATTTGCCAAAAATCATCTACGATGCATCTGATTTTGACTTGGAATCTGATTTTTCTTTTTTAATTTTTACTAAGGAGCATCAGAGGGTGTCTAGCAGATGAAGGAGACTGATTTCTCTTCTCTCTTCTGAACTTGGAAGACCACATCTGGAAAAATGTGCAGTTTTGGGTCCCCAGGTAGAAGAGAGATATTATCAAAACTGGAGTTAGTCCAGGTGAGGGTCTAACTGTCTTAACAACAGTTAAGGGGGCTGAGCATGTAGTAAAATAGGCTAAATGACTTTTCATAGAGATGTGCAGAGAAAGGACAAGACACACAGGCAGAAATCCCTAAAGAATGGGGAGAGTAGACAGTTCTTGTTGACTACTCATTTCTATTCCCGGCATGGTGTTGATGTCAGCAAGGTCACAGCAGGCAGTGGAGCAATCAATAAGGATCACGTTATCTTCGCTCTTTCCCCATAAGAACAGCAAAATGTACTTGGGTAATTACAAATGTACAAGAGGCATCCAAATCAGAATCCCTATGCAGTGAAAACCTACAATGGCTTTAAAATAAGTTCCGATGTGCAAGAGCTCAATGCAAAAATAGTTTCCTAAATTTTTCTGGTGGAGCAGAAAAATTGTAAGAAACCAAACCTCCAGAAAGAAAAAGCAAAAGCTATGAAAGTGAAGATGAATGTTTACATTCTTACCACAAAGGTCTTATTTATAACACTTCAACACATTACAACAAAATCAAGACTCATTTCCACAGTAATGTATTAAAACATCTGTTCTCAATAAGTGTGTTTATTCTAATCTACCAAAAATAAAATACAAAAAAACCCCTGTTCTAAATCTTCTCTGAAATTACCTAACAACTGAAGTAAATAAATCTGATTTTCATTTAGCATTAGCCATTACCAGTTGCTCTAGGCTTCTGCTTGGGTCAATGCTGTATATGATTGCATAATTATCTGTTAATCAGTACTGTAACTAATCGCTGTTCCTTGTAAAATCTAGATATTTAAAGCCAACTTTATTTCATTACACTAATCTCTAAATCAGAATGAGCAGCTGTCTCTTACTTGAATGCAAGGTATGCATCTATTTTAGAACTGCAGAAGTCAGTGGTGCTTGTTTTTTTTTTAAACAACTGTAGGCTTAATTACTTGATTTGCTTTTTACCTACAGCAGTTTAAAGGAGAAAGACCACTTTTCTTATCCTCTGTTTGCTTTAGAAATGAGGTCAATGCTGACAAAATGAAAACTTATTAAAAATTCAACCCTGCAACATAAAAGAATGTGAGAAATTCTAGTACCAAAGAGTATTGAAAACATTACCATCATGAAGAGCTCCTACTGCAGCTCATAATAGAAAGAAATTTTTATTACAATGTTTGAAATTTTTTAGCTTTTTCAATATTTAAGACATGCCTAATAAATATACCTCATAGCCTCTTCCCACTGGGACTGTGACCAGTGCCAGTGATCCAAGAAAACAGGAGGAAAACGTTAAAACCAGAATATGGAATGACCTCTTTATCATAGATGTTCTTATACATATTCATACATTTGTCCAATATGAAGCTTTTCATGCTGTGGAGACCTTGCAGCAGCTCCAGTTAGAGCACAGGGAATTACAGCACCAAGCTACAAAAGGAATTACAGCACCACACTGCAAATGGAGGCGGTCTTTCATATCCAGGACACTGTTTCCCACCTCTAGTTGGATGATGTGAATATCCCCTCCTCCTTGTTAAAATACAGTTCTGTGACTTAAGAAGGAAAAAAAAGAGTTTGTGCAGTCTGAATATAAACCTAATGCCATCTCCCAGAGAAGGCAAATGGTGCAAAGTCACCTGCAAAAGATTACTTCAAGTACTTTGGTATTTGTGGGTACCAAATTAAGCTTTGCTGCATCCCAGCAAAGCTTAATTAATGGAACAGGAGCTAATATTTTATGGTGATTTGCCTCCCCTAACCCTGGACATAGGATAGCAAGGTGCCTTCACAAGAAGCTTTTATCCAGGCCTATATTCTCTGCTAGAGTTTTATTTGCCCCAGATTAAATGTACTCATGTATTCATCAAATATAATCAAGTGTACTTATCTCCTGAGACCTCACCTCCCATCCATCTGACTATCCCTGTTTGAGACGAAGTGCTCTAGGAGACACCTATTTATCTCACAAATACTCTGTGCTAATGAATGCATTTTGAAAAATCTTAATTTAAGGCAGGCTCAATGCAAGCTCGGAAGAGAAGTCCCTGGTTTAAGGAGCTGAGCGTTACACAAATGTGGAATGGATGAAATTCTGAGCCCCTTCATACTTTCCTTATGGATTGACTTTTGTTACATATCCTTACCAGACAGAGCAGCCAGAAGACAGCTTCAAAGTTACAGGCCTGTTTTTTTCTTTTTCCTCTGACTTGTAGTATGTTATTGCTTGTCATGAATAGCAGAAAGAGGAGTAAAGTCTATTTCAATTTTCATCTCATTTTCTTTACACAGTCAACAAATAAAATTGTAGCTGGTATTAACTCCTGATCTGATGGGGATTTATTATGCAAATGAGAAATTCTCTATGTGCAGATAGTACTAGAGGCTTTGATTAGATATTTGAATTAACAGCTAGTGGAGTTGCCAGAAGAATTAAGTGCCTTGCTGTGTTTAGTCTCAGGCTTTTGTTGGAGTAAGTCTTAAGGACTTGTCTGACAGCAAGTGAACACAGTGAGTGCTAAAGAACTGCAGTATGATCTATGATATCTGAAATAATCTCCAAGACACTGCCCCTCACCAATGGAAATTTATTTTTACTGTGACACAGAAGGGCACAGGCATGTCATGCATCCAGAAAGTGGGTGTTTCACTCTCAGCAGAGGGCTGCATGATCACTGCAACCCTTCACAGAAATAAGGAGCAGACGGGGGCGGATTTGTTAAACTCAAATGCACAACCTATTTAACAAGAGAATAAGCTCATATGCTTAAACAATTCACAACCAAGAAAAACCTGTACTGTTTCACAGATGTGAAGCCTGTGAATACTTTTTCAACATGTTCAAACTATTTAAGATTTCTCTTTTTTTTGCCAACTCTATTCAATACTAATGGTACTTGTAAAAATACATGATACATTTACACAGCATTCTAGGAAACAGACACCTAGGGGAGAAACAACATGGGAAACTGATTTTCTCAAATAAGAATATGAAGGAATAACAAAGCAGCAAGTGAAAGTACACAGGACATACACAGTTATCAAAACATGCAACTTGTGAGTACACTGCATACTCTTTTAAAAATTCTTTACATTGATTTGTGTCTGCTATAGATATCCTCCACCTGTTGAAATTTCACTTGATTTCACATTACCTTTAGGTTCTTCCTAGATTTGCATTCTGAGACTGCTGAATAACATTGCAATTTTCATTATAAATCAACGGAATATGTATGTCCCCATCACTCTTCCATACCACATCCATATCCATATCCATATCCATATCCAACCATACCCCACCACAAACATACACCCACAAACACATGCACTGTTACATTTTAAAAATCAGCCTGAGGAAAACATCTGGGTAGGAAAAATTTCAACTAATTTAGTTAAAATTTCAGTACTTCTAGCAAATTTAAGCAGTATATATTATGTGTGAGTCGTTGCTTACACTTTTCTACACAGTGTTACCTTTCCTTTGTGCAAATTTATTACAAAAATACATTAGACTTTCTAATGTATTTTTCAATAAGTTGATGCAGTTTTTAGGAAGATCTATGCAATAAGGTGATCTTGTGACTAAAGCAAAAATTCCTCCCCTATTCAGAGCCTAATCCAAAAGCCAGTTTGTTAGTCTTTTTAGAAATGGCAGACACTGCCCACACTGGCTGAGTGAAGCCGGTGTCCTTGAAAGAGACTGCTCTAAGAGTGCTGAAGAAAAATTAAAAACTGCCACTACCCTCCAGGGATGTCCAAGGAATGCAAGTAGCAGCTACTGTGCTGTGGTGGCTGTGCACAAGAGGGCAGGGCTGGGCAGGCAAAGGGAGCCTCCGCATGTCTCCTGATAATGCCCTTCTTGCAAATTCAACTACTTCAGTACAATATTTTTTATGGTGCTAATAACTAATTCCTCTATTCTTGATTACTTAAATTAGTGAATTAGCAAGCATGGCTTGCACACATTTGAATAAAGCCCATGTGCTCTTGCCAGCGTGGCTGAGGTTTAATTAAATGAAAAACAGTATCTTGTTTAAAATTCTTCACAGCAATACTTCAGAATGTGTAGGCTGGGAACAGCACTGTCCCACTGCCAGTGATACAGACAACCATCTCAGTCTGCAAAAAAATTTCTTTAATTAGCAAACAAACTGGACAAGTTTCCTAACTAAACAGTAAAATAACTTATTTTGGGTGATTTATATGACAAAGTTTTTTGAAAGGCATGAGTGTAAGATATCAACATCCATGCAAGCTGAATATGGAAACCTTTTCTTTATACAAACAGTGAAGAAAATACAAAAATTGTTTTCACCTGAATGTAGATCTGTACCTGGTTGACTGGTCAAGCCAGGGAGAGAGTCCTGTAATTGGTAGGTTGATGATGATGAAGTGCCATCAGCTGTGTTGTTTGAGGTCATATATGCACCATATGTTGATGCTGAGTAATACTGTGCATACTGATTTTGGCCAAAAGCTGTGTATGACGAATAATCCTGAAACAGCAGATGCATCAGAGCACTCAATTAAGTGAGTAACTAGTAATAAGTGAATTTTTTCCCATTAAATATTTCTAACTGTACAGTCATATGACTTTTGCTATTGTTTTGAAGGTTTAGTTTAGTTTGTTTTTTTTTTTTTTAATTTAAGAATATTTAGTACCTTTAAATTTAAAGATATTTACTAAAAGACTACTGGGAAGCTGGAAATATTTAAGTGCTAAAATGTGTAACTAGGCTTCCAGTAAGATTTTGATAATTTTCCACAGAAAATAGCATTAAACCACAGTGAGTCTCATTCAACATAACAGATCTAAATTAAAATACATTGCTGTCTCTGGAGTTATATAAGTCGTTTTGTAACTGGTAAAATAAAAATGGTAATATTCATACCTGTTGTGAACTACTGAAGTTTGTAGAATTTGAAACAGAATTGTTTGAATAAATAGTGGACGATGGTGTGAAACTAGAACCTAAAATTAAGAAATACAATTAACTGTGAGAACTTGTTAGTCAATCAAAATAAAATTCTAATTAGAATATTCCATGTGAAGATGTAGATGAATCAGGACAAAAAAAACCCCACTTTTATTTTCCATTAGAAGTATAAAATGTTGTAATGAAACTTTAGAAGAAATGAAATACTACTTCCACGCATACATTCCTCTCCACACCGTGCAAGAAAGATATCAGCAGTAAGTCATCTCACCAGTTTAGAAAGCATTTTTCAGTTTATTGCATTTTCACCTCTCCTCAAACACTGTTTTTCTCTATTGCCTTAATTTCTAATACTTTAGTATTATGTTTGCGAAACAAAAACCTTTTCAAAATACTATATCCGGGTGTTTTTAATAAATCTGTAATGAGGCATGTCCTTGTTTTAAGCATAAATCAGACTATTCACACTGCAGTTTGTAATATGCAAAAGACTGACCATTGTATAAGAGGCTTAAAAATTATCCAAATAAAATAGGTTATCGATGATCACTGGGTAATCAATGAATTATTAACTGAATAGTAAATGAAAGAATAAATAATAATTAAGGAGAAATTCTAAAAAAGTATGTTAATCCAAGGAGGAACAAGTATCAAATTATGTCACACTCAGGAACATAAAAAACAAGGAAAAGAAACTTGTATATATTAGTAAATACAACAAGTGCTTCCAGTCCTGCCACGAAAAAAAATTAGTGGCTTTCACTGCACTAAAAATCCAAAAGAAGGCTCAAGTAGGGACTGCATTCCATGCCCAGATCTGAAGTAACAGATTATTAAAATGAATAGCACTGGGAAGAAATAGCTTTAAATTGTAGAGGTGGCTACTCACCTGGCATCTGGTAGGAGTAGGGTGTTTGGCCTGGCTGTGGGGTGGAAAACCCTGGGCTGTAACTGAGGCACCCGCTCTGCAGAGGAGATTGGGTCTGCGAGAGCCCACTTTCCGTCTTGATGCCTGGCAACATTACACCCAAATCTGTATAAGAAATTAATTTTCAACTGATTCTTTAAAATATTTTGTTACAGTTGGGAAAACAAAAAAGAGAAAGCAAAAGTGACATTCCAGTCGGCATTGCTTTTAGTTGTAGGTAAAGTGAAGTAAGAAGTGGTCAAATACCGTAAGTGGGCAAGCTGTAGGGCTGTCCTGTCTGTGAGTAGGCTGTATAGACTGCTGGCTGCTGCATTCCCGAATACTGCGTTTGTCCGGCATAGGCAGACATTGTTTGAGCTGCTGGTGTAGAAAGAATGTGCGGATAGGGCCTAAATATCAGGAAAAATAGCATTACTGTGGCAACAAATACTTTGTATGTTGATTCAAGCAATAAAGTAAAGAAAAAGGTTTAAAGATGTCCAAAGGCAGTTCATTATTCTGCCAACTGCTCCTCTTCTGGGATTTATTCCATCCCCCACTGGAATAAGCTGAAAGACACTCTGTCCCACATTCCCCAAGGCACAGTGAATATTTTATGCTGTCCCATCACTGCAATTTAATTCTTAAGCTAATGTGTCCACTTTTGGGTGGGCTGTGCCACTGCTTCATATCTTTATATGGATTTAACGTCTTTCAGCCGAGATCAGAACATTTCAATTAGAAAAGCCCTCACACTTTTTTAATCCAGTGGAGGGAAACTTGGACTAGAAGAATGGAGGAAACACAGAGGTGAATGTTGAAGCTAGTACATTATGTCATCTGTGTAGGTTCTGCTTCAACAGACATGTAGCCTCTAGCTTCAGTGGCAGATGGATCCTACCCACGGAGAGCAGCATAAAAAATACTGACACCAATACTTTGGTAACCAGATGGGCTTTAAATGTTCGGAAAATATGGGCTAGGAAAATAGAATGGAAATAAAAATGGTCTTTTATTTATGAACACTGAGGTTTTATAGAGAGATTGAATAAAATCAAGTTTAAATTTTTTTGCCCTCCAGAGTTGCAAAAATATACAGAGAAACATTTTTCTTGGATTGTTTTGTAAGTCAAATAAGACTTTATGGACCAAGAGTTGAATAAACACACTCTGCAGAATTACGCTAACTGAAACCTGGCCATTAAAAGCCAGGACTAAATTTCAGATTCCAATTTTTAATTTTTTTTTTCTTTCTAATTAATTCAGTACAGTTGGCAGCATTTACTATCAGAAAAGGATTACTCATTGATTTAGACGCCAAAAAATTGTAACAGTAGATTGAAAATTCTATTAAACCTTGTAATGTATTTGGCCAAAAGTACCTAATATAATTTGCCAAAACCTGTTCAAATTGGAATGATGGCTCTTACTTCAGGCACCTACACTCTGTATTAATAAATTTTGGCGACCATCATAAGATTGCAAATTTATTAAAAAAAAACTTGAAAAAGCTTAATTAGCTCTTGAATCTTTAGATTCAATGTTTTCTCTGTACCAAAGTCACAGTGATAGCTGTATCAAATAAATGGAAACAAACAGATGGCATACTGGAATCAAGAACCCTTGTGCACAACATGATCACAGGACAAGCAAACTAGTATGCTGCCAACTGCAGCAGTTCCATACAACATCTTTGGTGTTTCTTCCTAATGTTCCCACTCCTGGATTTGTGTGATTGCCCAAGAGTCAGTTTCCGCCCAGCAAAAAAAAAAAAGGCATGAAGAAATTTTCTATTTCTAACAACATCCGTTGGCTTAAAAATAATAAGATTAAAAGCTAATCCGATTTATTTGATTTTTAAATCTTATGATATCGGAGAGGAACAAGGAAAGGGTGGTTCATGATTGTGGAATGTTTGGAAGCGTTTGGCAATGCTGGCCTTGGACGGGTCAGGGACAGGGTTACCCCCCAGTATGCAACTTGTGCATGCAATTGTGATTTCTATATATAAACTGACTTCTCCAAAATATATCTGCATATATTCCCCACACATGCTGTTAATATGCTGATGTCTGAGAATGCAATAGTCTGATTATTTTACTTCTGTTGTGTGCTGATATTCAAGGGTGTTTCTTGTGCAGCAATACTGCATGAAGCAGGATCTTACTCTGTAGACACACGAGGAAAAAAAAGTTGGAGAGGGAGCCAGTACCGGAGCCAGTACCGTGGCTTAAGAATTTTCCTTTTCCTCTGTTTCTCCTGCTGAACACTTGTTTGCAACAAACCACAAAACTGCCCACAGCCAAGGTCTATGAAAGACTAGAAGAGGTGCAGACACTAACTTGGAGGGATATATCTGTGGAGAGTACTGGTGCGCTGATCTGGGACTGTAGCCACTACTTGTTATTACTGCAAAACAGAAAACAAGAGTACAGCAGTTAGAAACACCATGAGACCCACACAGCCACACAGGGTGAACTAAAGCAGCAACATTAACAGAGAAGCCTATTGAAATGGACAGCTTTTCAAGGAAGCAGATGTCACCCGTACCAAAACATTTAAAAAAAATTAAAAATTTCCAAATCTTTCTCTGGTGTGCAGAACTCTTTAGATAGCATGGGTATGTTCACACTTTCTCAACTTGACTAACACATTTCTGAGTATATTGCAGAGGCATGTATTTCATACATCACCTGTGATCCACACACTGTTGATCTTTCAAATTTGCAAGTTGTATTAAAAGGGGTAGTTAAAAAGAATCTTGTGATCTAACATATTTCAGGGGATTGAAGTAACATACACATACCTTTATAGTCTCACATTAAAAAGAAGTTCAATTTAGGAAAAGCATGTTTTATATGGTTGTGACTAATTTTAGTTAGCTTAGGTGATGGAAGATACTGCATTGAGCAGTAGAAAGCAACTACCATTCTTTATAAACAGGCCAATTAGAAGATAACCCTTAACAACAGTATTTTTATTTTAAAGTATGCATAAACAGTCCTGTTCAGTAGCCATCCAAATTGTGTGTATCTATACTATTCACAGCTGCATTCTCCAAGAAAGCTAACAAAACAATAGCCATAACCCATTAAAATTTCATCCAGAAGCAGTGCTCACACTGGATTAATTCCAAGTGTTTGGAAGTTTCCCTTTCCTTTAGCCATCTGTCTTGACTAAGACAGATGTATTCCAAATATATGTACTCTAAAGTGTTGAACCAATCCCTTCAGAGCAAATCCATACTGGGCAAACATACAGAGTGTCTTTATTAGGCCATCTGCTGTTCATTCACTTTTCAAAAGATTAAAGTAGTACACAATGAAGCACTGGAATTTCTTTAGTCTAATCAATCATAGTTGTACTTCAAAGTGTACCCTCTTCCTGAGTTATTCCTAATGGTAGTAGAAATGAACATTCAGAATTTTATAAGTGACAAATAGGTTTAGGTTCCTAACTATTTTATGAAATATGATACATTTCTACATCCAGCCCTAATTAATGTCTCTCAGATCTACTGCTTTGAACACACAGAGAACTTCATATTTTTAAAGATAGTTTAAATGCATTTAGAATGTGTAGAACTTAAAAGGAAAATACAGTAGAAGAAAAACAATTAACTTCTTTTTAAAATGTGCAGTTAAGTATGACTTGAAAGTAAAGAATTGGATAATAACTTTTAAAACATGTGCCATTAGATTTCATAAAAGAGCTGCTGTTTGAAAAGATATTGAGAGTTTGCCTGTAATGGAAATCTGCTAAATTTCATTTTGTGGGGATATTGGTTTTGAGGGTTTTTTTGAGAATGCCTTTCCGTGGTTTAGAGCAATCTGCTACATGTGCAGGCAGCTACTCCAGAGTCTGACAAACCTATAGCTGTTTCTATCAATGTAACTGGTTCACAGAACTCCAAAGAATGCTCTTGGTTATTTAAGGGTTGATGAGTAATTAATCTTCCCTGTTGTAGCTCTGTGACCTTTCTAAAGACAAGCAATAGCAGCACAGTGACCTTGGTGGTTCTCAGGGCAAGGAACTTTTGTGATCCATTATTGGCTTATCGGATTATTTTAGCCATATTGCTTTTTTTGTCTGATCATTTGCTGGATGAGAGCTCAATCAATTAATCACTTTGGTTAAAGCACATTTACCATGCCACTCCACCTTATGTAAACTAGAAAAAATTAATTACTATTAATTTAAATCACTAGAGCTATCAAAACCTAATACTTTTCAGCAAAAACTGTCCTGCCTGTCTTTTTATTCTTTCTGCATATACCTTCTTTTTAAAATTCAGACAATAAAATAAAATAAAATAAAATAAAATAAAATAAAATAAAATAAAATAAAATAAAATACTTTTGGAATGTGTCTGGTTTAAAATTTCTTTGTTTTTATCCCGTTTTCCCTGATGTTCCAGTTGTAAGGAAGAGAAAGAGGCAAGACTAAAAAATCCATTCTTTTCATTGTTTCTTTGTAGCTTGTCCCTGCAATTTGTCCTGTGAGACAAACACTGTGAGATGTTTGAGAAACATTTCAGGGTGCAAGGCCTATCATAAGAGAACATTGTGACTGTGGACCACACCTGTATCTCACAGATGAAACTACTAATTCTAAGGGTTATGAAACTTGAGATACCTCCTAACATCTCTTCTCTGAGGACTGCTGGCAGTGGAGGAGGTGGTGGAGGCAAGTTCCTGTGGGTTTTGTGGCGCTTTGTGTAGGCATTATATGAACGGGGCTAAATGCTCTTTTGTGTTGCTTATGTTAAAAAAACCATACCAAAACAAAATTGCTTCTTCTCTGAAAAACTCAAATATTCCTAAGACTTCACTACTTGAAATTACCAGAGGAATGCCCTTCAGGGCAGGTATAAGACCCTTGATCTCTCCAGTTCCCATTAACGCTGTTTCACAGAGGGGGCAAGCTGACAGCCAGCTCCTACCAGTTACTCTCTTAGTTCAAATGGCCAAGGTGGTTGTGGAGGATTTAAATGATCATTAGCTGTTTTAATAGCATATGTTGGGTTGAGTATATTAATATGGGCTGGAGCTTTGTATATTTTCATTACACATCTGGAAAATTGTGTGCAAAAAGGTTAGGTTTAAAGGACCTGATTTAAGTAACATCACAATCTCTACGCACAAGGGAACCAAATGTAGGTTAAACAGCAGTGACATTCCCTAACTTCACCTCCATGGCCTTCAGAAATTGCTTTCTACATCTGTAAACTGTGTTCTATGCCCTGTGTGTAATAAATACTAAATAAAAATGATCAGAACACTAAAATGATAAAACATTTCTCAAATTAATCCACTATTGTAAGCAATATATACACAGCATTACAGTACAGCAGCTGCAACAAATTCACAGTGCATGAAACTCTCAGTTAAGGGCTGTGCATCTCTCCCAGTCCCGTGAATGCCCACCCCAGTGGGAGTGTGCTGCAGAATCACAGAGCTGCAAACCGAGGACATTAATTACTGACTGCTCCTCTTTGAAGACGAAGGAGGAGGAAGGGGTGTGCACGATGGGACTGCTCACCTGGCTAACCCACGCCCAGAGGCACAGGTTCTCCCAGCTCTCAACAGGGCCTTGCCAATCCCAGGAGAAATGCCACTCTAAATTCAAGAGAGCTGTGTGCCTTACCTTTTCAATGAACAGTTCACAGAATCAGTTTTCTGTGAAGTCTAATCTGTCTCTCCTGTCCTATACCTGACACGATCTGTTTGACCATCACATACAGCTGGTCATTAGGGACAGAGATGACTCCTTTACACCCCACATGGCTTGTTGAGCCTTCTGCTCAGTTCCAGCACAGGTCACATGTTTTGACTGCCTTTGGAGCAGGGAAATCAATTTTAATGTGTAGAGTGTTTGCAGGAAAGGATTTCTGCACGGCAGACTCTCAAATGTATCTCAGCACCAGTTCTCTTTTTACACATCTCATTTCAAAAAATACAGAGAAGTGCTGGCATCATGAGTTTGTCATAGTTGGGAATAACACATATATGTCCTTCATTTTCAGGAAAAAACAAACTGTTCAGTGTTGGGCTTTGCTACGTATTTTTCAGTCACAGGTGGCTCATTTGAAACTACATCTGTCTACTAGTCAGTATTTACTGTGTTTGCCAACCCACTAAACTTCCCGACTAAGCAGTTAGGCTAAAAACTCAAGAGAAATCCTGGTTTTGCTGAGTTTTTACTGCTCTTTAAATTAAAATTAGAGGAAAATTAGAGGAAAAAAACTGTCTGATTTTGGAGTACAAGTAAAAAGTACACACAGAAGTAATATATTCAATCCTTATGAAAGGCTGAGTGCATTATCAGGGCAGCTCTGTGTCTCGCTCTGATGATGAAGACTGCACGTCACCCAGACAGGCAGACTATTGATTTCCCACTGAGAATGACCGTACTCATTTACTGCTGGAGTTTGTGCACTAAATTGAGAATCAGGTTCCTATTTCTTTTGAGTGCGCAGGTGGCTAACAGGCAAAAAAGGATTATGCAAGGCTCAAATTCCTGCCTTTTTTAATCTTTTTTTTTTTTTTTTTGAGGCACCAACTTTCCAAACATCCAAAGTGTAGATATCTCAAGACTTCTTTTGAAGTCAGTGGAAGCTGATGGTTGAGTGGCACCTGGGGAAATCAAGCTGTTACTTAGCTATCTAAACCTGAGCTGAAGGCTGCAATTCTTGGCACTCCAATGTTGCCTTATCCTTAAAATAAAACTCATCTGCCTTAAATACATGGCAGAAGCCGATAAAACTTCACCAACAATGAAAAAATCATATATAGAGTTGGATATTTTATGGTTTCATCATTACCAATAAAATTTTAGCATTGAATGAAAACAGAGTGAAAAAGAAAAGCTAAATTTTAGCCCAGACTATTTATTTTTTATGGAACTTTTTAGCCTTTAGGCTGAGGTTCCTCTCAGTATAATTATAATGAGGACAATGAAAATTAAAATGAGGACATTTTTCTAATCAGAAATAGTAAATGCTTTAAATCTCACAAAATACTTTTTCTTCATACATTAAATTAGTTATAAATACTTTTCTGAGTAACTTTTGGGTTTAACTGATTCATTACACAGAAACATTGTGATTTCCAAAATATTTTAAATAGGGCTTAACTACTTAAGTCTACTAAAGTAACAGTGGTATCAGTGTGGAATGGTGATTCATGGCTTTGGTGTTTCATTTCAGTCAGACCATTACTGAACTCATATTTCCATATGCAAAACTTATTCTCCCTCCTCTCCTTTTTAATATTATTATCAGCAGGATGTAACTTAATGATTAGAAGGCTGATTCTCTGTACTTTTCCACAGTTCATCACATTTTAATAATTTATAGGGATCTACTTAAACCACTGTTTGAATTTTTTGAGAAGCAATTGAAGCCTATGATTATTTAAAGTAAAACCATTTTCTTGGAAAGAAAGTAGCTCATCCCAGTGGAAAGAGACTAACACGGCAATCTGGTCACTGTTTAAACTAAATAGGAGTAAAAGGAGTAGCACTGAGGTATAAACCTTAAGATTTGAAACTGCTCAAATTAGCATGGCTGTTACAATCCCATTTTTTTTCTAGTATCATACAAGACTAACTCTGAAAAAAAAGATCTACAGTACCATAACAACAGTATTATTTTGAGACTTTTGCAAACAGCAGTGGTCTTAGGCATAATTATTAGGCATTCTTTAAGATCACACTTCACATAAATTGCTGAATAAGATCACACCTCACATAAACTGCTGAGTTGCATTTACAAAAATGAAAAAGCTATTATTATTTCTACTATTATTATTATTATTATTATTATTGCTATTAGGTATAAAATACTGCAACATTTTATAGTAGCTTTGTAAAGATTGCTTCCATGCAAATGTTCATTAGTGATGGTTATCAAATGCTGCATTAATGTGCATCTAACAAAACATCATTTTATTATGGCTTTACCTGACCCAGTAAAAGTGTCAAGCGATGCATCTCCAGTTGTTGTTGCTGTTTCACTGTTGTTCATGGGTTCTGTTTTGACTGCAAGAAGAGACACTACATAGAAGAATAAGTAGACATGAGATTTTACTTCTAGATTTGCACTAGAGTCCTCATGCCAGTCTCACTAGTGGTAGTCCAGCTCAAACAAGCACACGTGCAACAGCTTCAACCTTTGCTCTAGCACCACACCAAGACAATCAACAGGAATCTGACAGGAATGCCCATTTATCTACACAGCTCTGTACCTGTGCATTCATCCAGCTATTGGTTTTAGCAACTGGAATATCTTCTGGGGAGATTTCTAATTGATTCTAACAATATCCTAAGAGTAGCATAGAGGAAGGAAACATTAGCTGTCAAGGGATGTAGCACATAACAAAAATAGTTTTGCCTGACAAGTAAAACAATTATAATATGGTTTCATGATAATACAGAAGGAAATTTCACAGTGCCAGCACGTTGCCTTTCCCCTTCCCTTTTACAGAGTCTGTGGGGGCCTTTTTGAGCTAGGCCACCAACAAGCAATTTTTCATAATTGAAGAGAGAAATTTAAAAGAAAAAAAAGCAAAAAAGCCAAAAAACTAGTGTAGGACACAAATGGCAGCCGTGACAAGTCAGCTTCTTAATCAGAGGCTACCAAACAGTTTAGTCTACTCTGAACTCAAATTTATTTCTTATGGATCATCATGTAGTCTTACCATCCAAGCTGTACCTCAAAGCACAAAAAGCACCACAGAGGCAATACAAATTTTTGTAATTAAGTATGTTAATGGACAGAAGATTTGGCATGGACTTTTGTAATGGAATTTGGGAACCACCAATTGATGTGGTGAGAAACAGCAGTAGAGAATGCACTGCAGCTCCTATTAGCCTGTCTGACTGGAAAACGTGAAAGCCTCAACATATTAATGCAATTTTTTCATGGAGGTCAGTTAGGGTTGGGCATGGACACTCATCACATGCTTATGGATAGCACAGGCTGGTGCCCAGGGCCATAGAGTGAAGAGGCAATGAAGACCTGCACAAGCAACCACCACAGTTGCATGCAGGTATCCAAATTCCAAGGGCACGGCCTGGGATTTGTGAAGAAGCCTTTGCAGTGACAGCCAGCCTGGCAGAGCCCTCCAGCAGGTCTAACATACGCCAAGGAAAGGCATTCTCTGCCAGCTGGTTACCTGACGCCTCTGAGAGGCCTCAGCTAAGCTGACCAAAGCTCTCATCTGTCAACATCACTGCATCCACGTTTGACTGCACTGGCAACAGCACGGGAAAGGGGGGAATTTCATGTTCTGAGCTGGCAATGTATTTAAAAATTGTGGCACAGATTCAAGTCACCTAAATCAAGCGTATAAAAGGTGCCTACTAATCTCCCTTTACGTTTAGCTGAGACAGAGAGGAACTTCCAGAAGCTGATTCAGTCCAAGTATGACCTGAGCTGCCCTCAAGCTCACTGTCCCTCATACAGTCTGAAAAGGAAAAGGCAGTGCATGAGATAAATAAAGGATTTAGTTTCCTTGTAGGAAAAATGTGCAGAACAACACCTACAGACCCATACTGCTATTCTTTCCTGTGCCTGTGAGCACCGTGAGTTGCTCATTAGAAATTGCACAGCCACCAGTAAAGCTGCCTGCGACAAGCCCTGTGTGAGCTACCTCTCCTACAAAATCACATCCCATTTCCAGTCACACTGCCTAATGGATCTTACTTCAGGAAGTCACATGGGATGCTGCTGATGTCTACAACTGTACAAGTGACCTGTGCTGAAGTCAGAGGGACACCTGTTTGGATCAAGCAGGAGAAACTGGGATGCATTTGTCTCTGTGACTGGTAGAGTGCCCTGCAGCGTTACCAGTGCACCAGTGCCAAACAAACCAAGTATTATCTTCTGGTTTCAGTTATACAGCTGTATCTTTCCATCTATTCTCTGAGATTAAAAACTTTTTGAATGTGTGTCTTTTGAATTATTGTTTCTCTTTCATTATTGTTTCTCTTTCATAAAACTACCATGTCCAAATAGTCTCCCTGCAAGCAGCAGGATATTAATTCAATATGGAGTCATTGGGGAAGAATTTTAGCCACATCTTTTCAAGCTGTCATGCACTCCTCATTTTGCTAGCTATTATATTTTCAATTAAAAAAAAAAAAAAAAAAAAAAGCTGTGACAAAAACAACCCAAAATGAAAAAAAGTAATTCTTAAGAGCAATAGAGTAATCAGGCATTCCCATTTCTATAATTATTTGAGAAGGATGTGATTTTATTTTCATCATATCAATAAAACACATATCAAGTTCAAGGGTAATTTGTCACAAAATTATGGCCTCCACTAAACCTCTCAGTCATCTGGAACATGTATAGTTGCCTGAAGTATCAAAAGTATCTAAATTAATTTATTTGCTGATTACTGTGTATGGATGCCTCTATGTACTTCTGCAAAGTCTGGGCATCTACCCACATGAAAAAAGTACTTTTTAGTACATTTATCTCTTTTTGCTCAAGAAGGTATTTCACATAGTGAGCTACAAATGTTCAGTATTGCATCCAAGGAGACAGTATGTGTTTAACTGAACAGAAACTTCAGTCATGAATTGAAATGTTTACTTTAGAATTGTGTCTAGTTCTGGTTAATGCCAGCTGCACTGCACTGCCATCAGCATGAATAGACACAATCTTTTTTCTTTCCTTGTCGAGCAAATAATCTAAAACAAAAGAAACTCTCTCTTGCACTTAACTTGAGGAAAAACATTATATTGGCACTATTTGTTGGAAAATACTTATAGAAGTTGTTTTTATATGTGCTTGAGTTTAAACAGTTCTACTTTTTTGCATTCAGATTTCATGACAGTAAGGAATTCATCAAGGTCTTTCCTCAGTGTAGCTGGAGATTTTTACTATTACCTATTTTTCCTTATGTTGTATGCCATTACATGAAGAAGGGAAAAGGCACAAAGCTAACAAAAGAAAAAGAAAATATTCCAGCATCAATTTAAGAGAACTAATTTTTTTTGTTGTTGTTGTTTAATGTATTGAAAGAGTGAAAGTAAAATGAAAAGCAACTTCTAACTGGAAATACATTTGAGTGCTGCTAGCAGTTCTGTTTTCAGATGGGATAGAGCAAGCAGCTGTGTGCTGCTTAATTGCCAGCTGGGCTTAGACCATGACAACACAGTGACAGAGTAGAGCTACATCATCAGGTGATGGGGCACGTGGTGTACAAGGAGACACAAGAAGCTGGGCTTGTTCTGCCCCAGGAAGAGGAGGCTGAGGGGAGGGCTAATTGCTGCCTGCAGCTATCTAATGGGAAGGTGCAAAGATGACAAAGAACAAAGGCACACTCACCTCAAAAGGTGCCCTGGGAAACAACAGGTGGGAACAGATACAAGCTGCACTAAGGGAAAAATCCAATTAGATGTAGGAGGAAAATTCAATGCTGCCTTGAGCGATATGATCTAACAGCAAAGTTGGCTCTGCTCTGAGCAGTTCTTGGCCCAAATGACCTCCAGGGATCTCGTCCAAATTTCATTGTTTTAAGGCTAACTCAACACAGCTCCCAACAAGCAACAGCTTCTGCAATAGACCTTGATGAAAGGACTTAGCAGATCAAAATGACTGCTATTCTGCTGACCACTTTTTTATTTTCTCTACAGCATTTCTCTATGTTGAGGACTGAGTTTTAGGGGGAAGAGGTGCTAATACTATGCATGACAGAGGACAAGCAAGCGCAACAGAAGTTTCAGCAAAACAAATCTGATTTTAAAAGATCATGTAAAACAATAAACCACAGAGCTTCTCATAGGAATGGTTTTCTTCTTTCTTTTAGCAAGTCTTAAGAGTTTTCCTGGGAATATACTCAACCAGAAGCACAATTCTAAATATTCTACTGCCTATGGAAAATTAGATTTAATACAACTAACACCTTGTATTTCCTCACAACTAATAACTAGTACTTAAATTGTTACCTTCCACATTTACCTGAACATGCTGAACAGTTAAAAGAGGCGACAGCCCAAGTTATCTCAATCTTCTTTAAACTTAAAATCTTGTCATTCAGCATGAGCATTCAAATGGAACTTATTTTAGTGCAAATGATCTTTTGTGCTCAATTCAATTTTTTTTTTTTTGTAATTTTTCTTTGCATATGTTTTACAAATGGCAAGCTGATTCTGAGGGATTTTTTTAAAAGAACAAGTTTTTGAAGTCTTCCTAACTTTAGTCCAAACCTGCACAACTTAAGCACCTGTGTAATAACTTGTAGAGAAACATAGTCATGCATGTCTACATCTATGATTAATTCCATATGTACTGTAACGATGTCACATATAGAGTTATTATAATTCTTACAACTTCTGACAATTAATAATACACGTCAGGAAACTCATAAATGAAAACAACAGCTTGGAAAATTTGGCCAAAATTTTGTAAATTGGCAAGTTACATGTGGCAGCACATTAGACATAAGCTTTGATTAATAATGAATGTCTTCGTAGGAGTAAGAATACTGTCAACCTTGACTCGTGCTCAGGTAATCATGCAATGCTTTATTTAAAAACAAAAGAAAAGCAAATGGGCATTCTGTGAAAATTCCATCGGTCTGATTTCCAGCAATGCTGACTACTGGCAATTCCCAGCAATGCTGAACACCACGAGACAATCCCAGTCACTCAGAGCATGTAGACAGCTAAGCTAATTATAAGCGGGTTAAATTCTCCTTGCTCATCAAATGACTTTCAAAGCATTGTAAGGTAACTGCTTCTTGCAACTTCCTAACAGTTTTCTGGCTGTGGGAAAAGCCTTCGAGAAAGGGTAGGGAAAAAATGCTCAGGGTGAGGGGGAACCCCAGGAGAACGTTCAAACTGCAGAGCAAATGGACGTTCAAACCAGAGCAAATGGAGAGAGATGTCACACAGCACTCGTGGAGACACACCACACACGCATGCACTGTACCAGGGCCTCTCATACTTGTTGCAGAGGAGGGAGTACTGCAACTCAGCAACCAGTCTGCAGTATTTAACACAGTCATATTGTCTCCTGAGAACAGGAATGGTACAACAGTTCATTCTCCCAATGTCTGTTCAGTGTAAATGAATAGTCTTTAAGGCAAAGCAGTATTTTGGCCTTCAGGTCAAGCCTTTTAACTGAACTGTATTGGTTTTGTCAGTATTATTTTAACTGGTTTATTTATGCACGTTGTATAATATAGAGGCATCCAGTTACTAGTGTTCTTTAATAGCATGCTGGAAGTTTTCTTTTCTTTTTATGCTGGAATAAGGATTCTGTTCAAAAATAGGATTCAGCCCTTTGCAAAGCTCAGTTACTCTCCCAGGCACATCCACTTGTTATTGACATTAACAGACTTTGGTTTAAATAGAGTAAGTGAATAAAACGCTGTACCTGGCCAGAAAGAACAAGCAAAAAAAAATTTTTCTTAGTACCAACTGTTAAAACAGACAGTAATGTATAAACTCTAAAGAAAGAACCCTAGCTTGACTCATATCCATGGTGTCACTTTCATGGACTGCACCTCAGAATGTGGCACCCTGCCTCCCACTGCTGTGGTAGAATTGGTCATCTGAAAGCATTGGAATATCTGTATTGCAGTTGCATGGCAGTGTTACAGCATCACCTACAGCAGTAATGACCAGTTACTGCTGAGGAAAATCTAACAATCTCTTTATTACAAACTTTCATTACCTCCCAAGAAATTAAATTCATCACCAAAAAAAAACCCAAAAAAACACCCTCATATTTCCTAAGTCTAATTTTGATGCACTTTTCTTGGTAATGATTTTAATTTAACATAAGTGCATGTAACTCAGGGTCTAAGAGTAAATTATTACTCATCAAGGAAGTGTGACACAGAAAATACAATTAATTTTGTAAGTTACCAACAGGTATAAGCAAACATTTAACACTGAGTTCAAATCAACCATTCAAAATTTTTCCTTATTTCATCTTTGCACCTTGTTTCAGTTCTGCCTCTTACTTCAGTTGGTGCAAATCAAAGAAGTGATGTTGAAATTAGAAATTTACACTTGTATGACTGCCAATTTTTCATAATTCTTGATGGATTTATAAATGGGTATATGGTCATTCTTGAAATTATGGTAAAAAATGTGTATGACTAAAAGCTATCCAAAACTTTCTGTGGGCCAGCTGTGTCTTATACTTACCTCCTGTTCCATTTGTTGTGACTGATGTGCTACTGAGATTAGATTTATCCAGTTTGGAACTACCTGGTGCATCAGTGCTTCCAACAAGATTATGAGGACTGGCTAGATCCTGCATTTCCATAGACCTGTTAAAAAACAAGGTGACAGTATTAATGTATTGTGACAGTATCCAAAATAATCTGCTTTTTCTACAATAACTTTTTTTTTTTTTTTTTTTTTTTTAATATGGAGAGTTTGCAATGCATCCAGATTAACAAATCAGTGCAGGTTCCTTTGACATCTTTGCTTTTTACCAAACCTAGGAAAGTAGTTAACAGCAACAATGCCACTATTTTCCACTCTTCCTTTAGATATTATGAAGTGACATGGGCTAATGAAAATTCCCCTGAAACACACCACAGAATTTGTGCATAAGAAAGCTGAAACAGGAACTTCTGCCTCTCATTATCTCTACTCCAACCACCAGCAGTTACTGCATCCACACTGAATTATAGGAACAGCCCATACAAGTGAATGAACAGAACTTTTGTGCACATCTGGAAAATTCTTCACTCCTACAAATGTGTATATTCTTCTTAGATCTCTTGATACTTGTTTTCTTCTCTGTAATTTCTGTGAAGCTTGCAAAATTTCAAGTGGATTTAGGCTGCAATGAGTTCCAGCCTCGCAGTTACACTGGGGGCCTGCAGATGGCTTTCATGCAGTGACAACAGATCTGCCTTTCCAAAGACAGAGCAGACAAGGAACATTTCTTGTTAGACCGGTAATTGCAACCCAATTTGCAGTCTGTGCTCGCCTACTCCTTCTTCATTTATATATTAATTACACTGATTTTTTCCCCCAGAGAAACAATTTTGCTATATAGAAGCAAAGTTGCCAACCCACGTGTAACAAGAGAATGATCTACCATATGTATACTCCAAAGGCCAACAGAAAGATTGACTTACAGAGGATGTGAAAGCCCTATTACATTGTAGAAGGCTGAGATGGAGAAGAAAGAGATGAACAGCTGGAATGGTTCAGTAACAACAGCTCCCAGGTATTCATATTCTGAACAACAGCTCCCAGGTATTCATATTCTGACCAGGATAATCAATGGCAAATCATTAAGGGCAACACTCAACATTGTAAGAATTTATTTCAAGTTTCACTTTGAAACTGCCTATCTTCTGTGCTCCACAGATCCTCCTCTGTGGAAAAACAAACAAACAAAATTCCACTACCTTTCCATCAAACATGGGTCTTCTGGCTGAATCTGGATTTTTTCCCCTCCAGAAAATGAAATTTTATTAGAAATTATCAGAATTTTGTACTCCTAATGCTGCTGATCTCCTGGATGATTTACTCCCTCACATTATATTCATTTAACCCAAGACAAAGATTCAGAGCTTTCATGTCTTGAATAAATTCGAGAAAACATAGGAAATACTTTATCTCAACTGGGAAAATAAATGGAAGCTTTATCCAAAGCCACATGAAGCAAAGAATCCCATTCACTCAAGTAAATGCCTCAGTCAACAATGAGATGCACTGGCTAAGCCATTGGTAGGATAGCCTGCCCAGCAGCACTCTGGAAGAGCAGGAAAAAACTGGTATTGCTACAGGCCATGCATCAGCGGGTAAGAATTTTACAGCTATATTCAAGGAAATGCAAAGGTATAAACTGAGATTTTAACTGCACTGAACCTGATTTCTTCATCAAATTGTGTATACATTTCTACACATCTGTCAGCAGTGCATTATATTTACTGTCTACTGGAAATGTGATCAGTGTTAGATGAAATAAAATTAACTCAGGTTGTTTACAAGTCTGCCAGGTTTTGTTTAGCAGTTTCTGTATAAGTATAGCAGCTAAAGGTTAAAAAAAGTCTATGGGTTTCCATCTTGTATGTATTTAAGGGAGCAGAAGAATGCTACACAAAATAAACAACGTGTGTTTCATTGCATATACAGCGTAATGCTCCCCACGTGTTCACTTGGCAGTTTTAAATATCATGATTTCCTGTTGAAGTACGATCAGCACACAGATACCTAATGGGCAGATCCAGCTTAGAAAGTTCACACTTGCTTTTTTCCCCTTGGTTTGCATGAAAGCTAGAACAATTTCTTTTCAGACAGGCATATGCCATTGCTACAGATGCACTTAAGCAGCATTTTAGAAGCAAAATCACTGGTTTACCTATCTGGTTTTTTAAGAAGTATCCATTTTAAGCACTTTTCACAGTCAAATGAATCAGGTTTTCCTAATCAAATCAGACCTTTTTTAAACCAGAAAATTAGGTCCACTAACTCTAATTTTCTTGGCAAAGAATATAAACAATCAAATTTTGTAAAATGAATACTTTTTCTTCCAAACAAGCACGACAGCTTCTGTGCAGAGAAGTATTTTTATCGCCCTAATTTATTTTCTGTAACAAAAATGACATCTCATCCGCAGACATGGCAAGTTAATTAACTAGAAGTATTTTTAAAGTAGTGCCTTCACAAATAGACATTTTTTCTGCAGGAGTAAAGAACATCTTGTACTTATTGGTAGTCCATTAAGAATAAAAAGGATATCCAAACCAATAAAATTTTCACAAAACCATGTGTATACATTGTATTATCCTGGGTGCTCCATCCTGTGTGAACAAGTACAGGGATTACTTTAATATATCCCTATGTGATTTATTTACAGAAGTGCACATGTTGCCTTCTGTGTAACACATATAATTCAATTCACTTTTCTGGATATATTTAGTTTACCTTTAGCCTGAAAATTTCTCAGGAAGATGTAACACTTACTAAAATCTTATCTTCCAGTGAATGGAGGATTCAGGAAAAATGCTTAGTAAAATGGACAAAATAATTCCAACATCTTGAATTCATTTTGTCAAACTAAATGTTTATCAGAGTCCTGCTTTCACTGACTTAATCAGAAGCAGGTTCAGGTTCAGTATGTGCTTTCCTGCACAAAAAAAAGTTTGAAAGAAATCTCTGAAGGACTAATTAATACTTCTAAGTTTACGCAGCTATTTAGTAAAGACTGCTTTCTAGTAAATGCAGTGTGTTCCAATTTAGATGGAATAAAGTTTATTGTTAAAGGTGCTTAGAAAACTACACTGTATAATTTTATTTTACATATTTTGTTTCTCTGTCAGGCACATAACTGAGCTTTTGTTTTTCTGTTCCTACAATGTCTCAAACTGCTTTTTAGAATAATCAAGTAAAATTCTACATTGTATAAAAAGATACATTTTGTCAGGAAATGGATTGAATAAGTTTTAATTATGTCTTGACTGTTTGAAGAAGGTTTGCATTATTCCCAGCTTGTGAGCAAAAACCTGAAACTTGGCAAGACAGATTTGTCTTTTATTCTGCTTTGGCTGTGCTTAAAGTCTTTGAAAGTTGCTATTTGCACACGCTTATCGGATCATTTCAGAGGCTTACTGGAAAAGTCTCTAAAACATCCCATGCCACAGAACAGTCTCCCAGATCTCAGTGGGCTTTAACTCCAACCTGTGGACAACCCTACCCAGCAGAAAAAGGTTTGAATCAAAAATATATCCGTGTGGGGATTCTGGACCTTCCCCATTACAACATATTCTGTTCCCCAGCTTGAAGTTACATCTTTTCAAGGGTTAGCTTATGCTCGGAAGTGAATTAAGGAACAGCATCCAAAGAGATAAATTCCACCCTTTTCATCTTTAGAAGTGTGGATGAGCAGAACTTGTACCCCACCCCAGACCACCAGAGTGCACAGCCCGGCACCATAACCCAGCCTTGCACAGAAGGTGTAAGTAGGACTGATTACGATTGCCCCATGTGACAACTGCATCTCTCTATTTCTGTATAACTTACACTTGTGTTGTTTTAAAGGCAAAAAGCCCAAGTCTTCCTCCTACAGTTGTTTATAAAATTCCTCTTTTTTTTCCTTGCCTTCATTATGATCACCTATTCATTTATGCACTGCTTTTCTTCAGCAGACATACAATTAATTTTCAGAAAATCTGCATTGCTATAACTGTATTATCCATCTACATTTCCAGTTCAACTATTATTAAAGTGGACGAAGAGCTGGGTCCTTCCACAGCTTCTAACTCCATTGATTATTTATTAATTCTACAAGTAGAACCTATTTGTAGAATTTTCTTGAAAGAGATGATGTTTTAAAATGGAAACTTTTGCTTCATAATCCAGTTCAAACTTTTGTTACCAACAAGATCAAAATATGAAATATTTTATCTAAGATTTATAAAAGAATAAATATTCTAACATGAAAACAAAGAACTTCAAATCCCAGCCTAACCAAAACATTTCACAAATACCATTTCCTTTGTACAGAATTTGAAGCAAATCCAAATGACAGGAGAACTGAAAGAAGGACTAGATGGAGGTTATTTAAAATTGAATTATTTAGTTTAGTTTGTAAATAATCATAAATTTTTTTTAAAGTATTTAAAATCCTTTGATAGGAAATTCGCTACATACATTTCTTTACCAGAACCTCATGAAACTTCACTGAGGCAAAAATGCATCTTCTTCTTATTATTACTACTATTATTATTATTACTATTATTGTTAGGTTAGCTTCACCCCTGCTCTTCTAGTATCCCTCCTGTTGTAACACCAATTCTTAAACACTCCATACTTTCTCACAGAAATGTGGAGTCTTGTCCATTTAAGTTATCAGCCAACTTGGAGGTTCTGAAATTAAGTAAACTTTCCCTTTATTTCAAATTAAATTTTAGTGCAACAGGCAGGTTGGATAACAGAACTGTTCAAACTTGGCTAAATCTGTTTCCTAAGGGTATCAACTCTCAGATCAACTACACTGTTTTGAAGACAAGTGGGTTAATGGGTTTTTTTCTCCATTTCCCATACAGATTTTTTTAGGCAGATCTTTCAGCCATGCTCTGAACAGGACAAGTGAGCTCACCTCTCTTTCACATGCAGTCTGAACTAGCTCATACAAGCCTTTATTCTGACACAAACAATCAAAATGGATGCACATACACAAATGTCATTTTACATAAAATCTGCAATAAAGTTTAAAACACTAAATAATTTAGATAACAGCACTATTATAAAGGCTTTTTTTCTAGTGTTTTGGGGTTCTGTTTTTGGGTTTGTTTGTTTGGTTTTT